CAGCAATTGTATCACAGATACTAATATGGCCTAAAGGAATCTAGAATTAACCCAAACGGGCTAAACATTAAGGTAAACATTCAATTTTCTTAGTTTCTTTAAGAAACTTTCTTGACCCATCACTGGTAATATTCATAAGAATATAAGAAAAAATTGAACCTACACCTCGCCAAAGTTTTTTGTTTCGAATGCGTTCCACCAACTTCAAATACCGACAGACAGCTGTTTCGACCTTTATTGGGTCTCATCAGTGTCGGGCAACTTGGTGTAGTGGAACACAATCAAAACAAATTACTCCCTCAGCTTATATGCTCGGTTGTTAAGTCAACAGAGGCGAGATGTAAGAACATCAGGTGATCCACACCGTCAAACGACGTGGCCTTTGCTGCAATCGGTACATACTATGCAACCGGGACTTTACAGTAGAGTCCGTACCCGAATTTAAGTTATAGTTTACTGCCGGCGAAATTAAAAGGTTAGTGCAATGTTCATATAAACTTTTCAAATATTGGCGTTGAGAAACTATTTAATATTTTTGTATTTTTGTATTGAGATAATAAAATAATTTTCACATTTAGTAATATTTTAAAAGAAAGGCACTTTATTTTAACGATTGTATGACATTTGACAACTGTCAACTAACTTAAAACTAACTTCAGCACGTGACTAAAAACCTGTTGCTAACTTCAGCCCGTGACTAAAGCGCCGTAAAGCCACAACTTGTCAATGTGTAATTAAAAGATCACTTAGTGCCATGGAAACATGTACTATAAAGGGCGTTTTAAAGGTGGGAGTAGAAAAAATTGTTTATATTGCTTCAGTGCAGAACTCTTAAAATTTCTATATTAGGCGCAATCCTTTGAAATGATGATCCTTGGTTAACTATAGGTCTATTTTTTATTTTTTTTTATCTGTTATCTCGTGCATAATCTGCTGCCATGTGCATAATAAAAATAAAATAAAATAATGAGTTAATTACGGAAAATACACTGTGAGACAAAGTTACCCGCAACCAGGGGGTAACTTTGCACACCCAGTTTTTAATTTTAATTCTTAAAACTCACCCCTTTGTAATATTATAACATAGTTATTATGAAAGAGCAACTCAAGACTATTTAATGTTTATGATTGTTAAAACCACAAACACTTTAAGCTTAAGTTTAAAAGTGAGCTAAAGGCACCCGTGTTTACGGTAATTATAAACCTATTATAATTAAGATTTGTAAAATTTGTAAAAAATCCAGCAGTGTTCAAAATTTTAAAAAATACTAAAAACATTTTCATTTGTGGTATTTTTCGTCTACTATATTTTAAGTTACCGCCACCATCATATAACATACAAAAAAATCAAGGAATCCAACGATGTATCAAACTACATAAATTATGGCGGCCATTATAAAAACAAATCTAATAGCGATAAAATTGGATAAAAATGTAAAACTTACTTTTTCCAAAATTTTCAGAAACAAGGATTTTTTGTTTTTGAAAGATTTTATTTTTTTTATTTTTAGAAACCGCTGGCTTTTTCCAATTTATATATATAGGTATAATGGGCTTGTATTTATGCAACATTTCTCTTATTTAACTGACATAATACAAACTCTTACAAGAATAATCTATCAAAAGTTTATTTAAATCCATTTCAAAGGGAGTTTTAGTTTTAGCATAAGTCAGTTACTGTAAGTGATCCATCATTGTTCCGCATTTCAAAAATAATTTCCTTTTATCGCGTCAATTCAAATTCAGTTTTATAACTGATGTTGGTTAATTAGAATGATACTATATAATTTATATTCGTATACAACAACATCCATCTTCCTATGGTATTAAAAGCCATAGATTTCATAAATATTATATAGGGTGTCATTCTTTGGAATGATACTGTTTTTTAATAAAAAAAATTATGAAATTTTTTTGACGAAACCATGGAGCCACTGAATGTCACTGACCCATCCTATGTATCATCATTGTTTTTACCTCAGATAAAATCCGAAATCATTTGGATATGATAGCAAGAGCGACACATCATAATTGTCTACGCCGCTGTCAACTTTGTGTGATTAAAAACAGCGGGATATTTAAACATTTATTATGATTTTTTGAAACACTTAAAAAAATAGCAACATGAGCATCAATCGACGTTAAAAGTGAAAGGTAAAATTTGAAATATACGGGAAAACCACGGAAACCTCGAGATACCTAACAATAAAAAGTAAGTATTGTTTTATTCAAAGTATACTTTACATATATGTAAAAAAACAATTATCAACAAAGTAATCAATGATAAAACGAATGTAAATTTTTAATAAATGTAGATTATTGCACACTGTACAAGCATATTTTGCGTGGTCAGAAACAACCAGTGGCGGCCCAAAATTTTCACTTTAAATTTGAATGATTTTTTTATTTAAAAAAATGGCACTAATTCAAAAATTATAAAGGAAAAACTTTTTTGTTTTGGTATGTACTATCGTCCCCTTAAAGGGTGACACCCTGTATAATATAATTTTCTTAAGTAAATGTCAACCTTAAATTGGATATGAAAGATATGACGGAACCCAAATAAAGATAAATAAATAAGGGTGCAGAAAAAAGATTGCAAAAACACACACTGTTGACTTAAAGCTCATTGTGGTAAATTGGAAAAAAAATCCCCATAAATAAAATACAAAAAATACCCTTTTCAAACATGGGATGTGTGTCAAATATTTCGTATTGCGATAAAACCATAGACAAGGGATAAGTTGGTTGGGGGGGCTTTAGTTAGATAGGCAACTTAGTATTAATGTTTTGTTCCGTGACTAATGCGCCCTCCAGCGGGTCTAGTCAAAAATATATATTCAAATTATTGTTTAAATTTTTTTACTGGATGGTACTGATCCTTTTTTACTTCAAATAGATACTTAATTCTAATATTTTTTTAGGAAAGTTAAAAGAGGAAAAATAATACATAAAATAATATAACTACATTTTAATTTATATTTTATTTGTCAAAGTTATAATAGTATATTATGTATCAAGTTTTATAAACGCCATGTTAGTTACGAGTTTAATTAAGCACAAGCGAAGCTTGCGAGCGAGTGTTTAATAAAAACGAGTGTCTAGAGAAGTTTATAAACGAGTTGCATACTATACTTTATCTACGACGAACACAAAACAGAATTTAAAGCCAATTTTATTCGTTAAAATTTTGACATCTGTCAACTGTCACCCGAATTTAACCTCACTTTTTCCCAATTTATAATAAAGCTAACTTCAGCCCGTGACGTAAAATGTCGAAAAGCCACTGTTGTTAACTTCAGCCCGTCAATAAAACGCCATAAAGTCAAAGCTCGTCAATGTAGGAGTAGATAAAATATATAAAGGCAAAAACTAATTAAAATCAGTCTACATCATATAAACTTATCTAACTATTCCATTATTAAAATTAATTTAAATGGTAAAATAATTTTTTAAATAAAAGAACTATAAAAATGTTAAGACTTGGGGAGCGTTCAAGATTTTACCCCATGTAACGCGTTGCAACGTTTTGTGACCATTTTTTACCTGAAAGTCACAATTATGTGGCAAAATCGTTTTTTGGAAATCGATGCATTTTTCCACTCTTCCCTGCTTTTGCACTTTTGTGCACAACAAGAATAAACCATAATAATGAATACACAATACAAACTTAAAAGGTTATAAAGACTTCACAAATCTAAGTTATTCTCTCATGTCTAATTATGTCATTATGACAATGGTAGTCTCGGAGACAAAAACAACTTTGTCGACATTAGCGCCTATGGCAAGCGTAGTCTAAACTTCTCAGCGGACAAGTTTTTGTACAGTAAAGTCTGAATTATAGATTGCCTTCCTTCCTTCCTCCCGTAGTCGTGCCCGTACGATTTGTGCGTCTTGTAAAAAGTAAATTTATAGATTTCCGTGTAAAATTCCGTAACCATGCGCGATGACACCTAAAATGGTTGACATTTGTTTTTGTTTATATTTTGCGTTTTACCCATTGTGTGTAAATATGAAAGATGTGCAGTGATCACAATTTTAATTGCCAAGACAGCTTGTTGTATACTGCCCAACTATGGAGAAAGGCAGTAACTGCTAAACAAGAAATTTGTGTGAAATTAGCATAAACTACATTTTTATAAAAAGCAGTAGGTATTTAACTGATTTATTTAACTTATAAGATAGTTTACTGCATTTCTTTGTTGTATTAAGATATAAAATGCCCATTGCTTTATCATAGCACAAGAAAACGCATTTAGAATTTTTTTGTAGTTAATGCCTTTTTCCATAGTAGGGCAGTATAATGAAATAAAAAACATCGAATAAGACGTTGGAAGACTCGCCCACTTTACCAAGACCGGGAAACTACGGGGTTTTACAAAGCAACGTTTCTAAAAATGAAAGACATTGATCATGAACAATATCTAAATATCCTATTTAGAGACACAAATTATTTAATAAACTGAACACCTATCTTAAATAATAATAAACAATCATCTATTTTAAATATTTTGTGCATACGCGCTGTCACCCTACAGCGCATGTACATAACGAGTAATGTGATTGGTCATGTCAAAGACCTTTACGGTGAAAGATAAAACTTAAAAATTTAACATTGTCCGTTATTAATTTTAATTAAACTTAACAATTATTGATACTTTAAAATATTAAAATAACTTCAAAATATGATTTTGTTAAGAAAATATTTAATCCTTTAATTTTTTTTATTACTTTAATTGCAAAATATTATCACAAAGTATTAAAAATTCTTACACGGGAAATGTTAATGGTGAAAATTACGTCAAAAATGTTTATTGGGTTTCGTATTGTTCATCTTAACGGGAGGAAGGAAGGAAGACAATCTATAATTCAGGCTTTAAGATGCACAATCATGATAAAAACGCACATATTTTTTCTTAAAGCTCACAATTTTTATAATTATATTTTTTTAGTTAATACATTTAGAAACTTTATTATTGATTACATTTCTTTGTTTTCAGATCTGGTGCATACTATTCAACATAATACTGCAGACCTTTCTGATTTCAAATTATTCATGGATGTTATGCGAGGGTCTATATCTGCACACCGTTCTTGTTTGGGCCTTCATATCGGAAACGCGCCTGTACAAAGGTATGTTGGTCATCGGATGGGGTATACCTTTTCTGGAAACGATTGTCTATGTTTCCGCGAGAGCATCTTTGGGGGAGGAAAAGGATCTTAAAGAGTAAGTGTTTGTAAGAAGAAAATTGTAAAAATAGTATTTCATTGTTAAAATCAAAGTTGACGTCGAAATTGAATTCGGGATGTTTGCAACGCAAACTTATTTGTGCCGCAGATATATTTGTCAACAACTGGAGGTATAGCATAGATAAAGTTTTCCTTATTCGTGAACGTTAAGTCCTGAAGTTTGTGCGAATGCAATTTCCCACAGGGTGCGCACCCGATGTTTTACACCAGACGCGCTAAATTATTTTATGTTTGCGAATTTATTATATTGTGACTGAAAAAAAATGCATAAAAAATTTAACAATAACAATAAAAACTTCATTTAAATTTTTGGCTTTATATATTATAATATCTTGATTTTAGACTTTTTTATAAAATGAATGTTGTGGTTGTGATATATGGAATATTTGAATTTGATAACATTGGAAAAACTGTCAACTGTTAAACCCATAATAATGTGCTGATTTTGTCAGTTTTAAATTGCATTTGTATGTATATGTATATTTTATTTTCTGAAATAAATTCAACTTCAACTTTCGGTATAGTTTATAATAACTATTATTTTTTAGAAGTATAATATTAAAATATATTTTATTAAGTATTAATTTAAAATAGGTATATATTATTTCTTATTTTAATTAGGTACTTAAAATAATTTTCATTAAAACGGTCTGGACTATTATAAGTAATTATAATAAATAAATTACTTTCGGTTATTTATTTATTATTTATTAAAAACCAAAATGGGCATATAAATAATAAACGTATATAATGCTTTTAAAGAAAGAAACACAAAGTTGTGTAGACAACGAAACAATTTATTAATCTTAAAAGCTCTAAAAGTTTTGTGTTTGCGTTGTAGGCATTCAAAACGTAATTTAAAAATACTTTAAAACCTCTCCTGTAAATTGCCGTAAATGTTTAAAAAAAAACGGCCTTTTATGCAAATGTAAATCGAGGTTTATTACTTTTGATTCATAAATGTATTTTAATTTAAATATATACGAATGTTTAGCAAAAAAAAATGTAGGGTAAAGTAGACCGTTATCGGACACTTTATAGTTATTGGACAATTAACATTAATACTGTAAAAACAAGAGTTCTATAAATAGTTACCTTAAAGTCAAATCATTAGATGACTCTGTATATAATTTTAACTATCTCAGTCGGTAATAATATAGAACTACTTTATTTTGGGTCCAATATAGGACGTTACTTTGGTGGTAAGATTTTTGTTTTTTTGTTAAGAGCAGGTCTGTGTTTAAATATTTCTAAAAATTGTACAGTGTGGCATTGTCACTTTAATGCGTTTTAATTTTAATTCTGAAAACAAACAGTAAAATGGCCACATTGTCCACTGAATCCGAAAAGACCTTCAAAAACTATAAAAGTTAAGCAGTTTTTGAGATATAGTAAATTCCATATTATATGTGAAATTGATTATATTTTAAAAACTGTTCTAGTTTTATAACTTTTGACGATATTTTCGAATTCCGCGAAAAATATTTCATGGGAATTGCCTGCTAAATGTCCTAAATACAAATTCCTGTTGACGAGAATTATTAGTGGCTGCTTTTTCGCTATGACATTTTTGACTAATTAATTTTTAGTAGTAAGGAATATAGTGATTTCTTTGTCACAGGACATCTTCCAGAACAACAGTGATTTAAATACAGTGCATGATAGAGAACATAAAAAACTAATAGCAACAAAATTAATAAATTCGGAAAATACTTTTAACATACCACCCGAAAAAATATTAGATATATATATATATATATATATATATATATATTAGGGTGCGCCAAAAAAACTCGAAATAGTTTTTTTCTTGCTCTCCACCCAAAATATCGTAGAATATGTCCGAACAAATATTCTGTTAAAAGCGGAGCTCATAATTTCAATTTTAAGAGGTCCCTCATCGAATCTGAAGTTTTGCCGCTTAAATAGCACAGAAAACTGACCTTTTTACCTTATTTATTCTTGCAACCTAGGAAGAAATTTTTTTTTCATAAAATCCATGACCAAATCTTACAAAGCATTAAACTTGGACGAAAAAATCTTATTAAGCCGAATTTCTATTTTCATTATTTAATTTTTTACAGAGCTTTAAATTTAAAATTTTACGTTTTTTGCCTTTTTCAGCTAAACTATTGAAGTTAGACGAAAAAGTCAAATGGTAATTTTTTAGCTTGTCTGATGGACCACAAAAAAGTTTTAGGCGAATTTTTTATATCGTCAATATTCTAAAAGTTACAGGCGTATAAAGTCATCATTTTTGTATTATTATCTTTAAATTTAAAGCTAAATAAAAAATTAAATAATGAAAATAGAAATTCGGCTTAATAAGATTTTTTTGTCCAAATTTAATGCTTTGTAAGAATTAGTCATGGATTTTACGAAAAAAAAAATCTTCCTAGGTTGCAAGAATAAATAAGGTAAAAAAGTCAGTTTTCTGTGTTATTTAAGCGGCAAAACTTCAGATTCGATGAGGGACCTCTTAAAATTGAAATTATGAGCTCCGCTTTTAACAGAATATTTGTTCGGACATATTCTACGATATTTTGGGTGGAGAGCAAGAAAAAAAATATATCAAGTTTTTTTGGCACACCCTAATATATATATATATATATATATATATATATAAATCATCCTGTTTCGGCCTAAACATTGTAAATGCTTAACAAACTAGAGATACCACACTTAATGATATTTGCAACAAACTATTTCAGAAGTCCGACCAAGGAATTAGTAGTTACCTTCAGAATCCAGAAAAGGGATGAGGAATCTGAGAAAGAAATATATAAATTATATGATATTTACAAAAACGAAATAAAAAAAATTACCTAAAAAAGCAATTTATCTTTAAAAAATATTTAAAAATTTATGTTATTTCATGTAAAGTTATGTTTATATAAAAATTGTATGTACAATAACTATGGTCCATGTGTCAAATTACTATATTAAATGTCCAATTACTATACTTTTTTGAATGTTTTATAAAACTATTACTAAAAATTCAAATATTCTTATTTTTAAGTAAATGTAAATAAAGTTTAAAAAACAAACTATCCTTTTTATATATTTGTAAGAAAAAAACAATTATCTATAAAACAACGGCATATATAAATTTTAAATAAATAATATTCTTTAAGTGTCCAATAACTATGTGGTTTACCCTTATCTATAAAACAACGGCATATATATTAAGAAATTTAATATCTAAATTATTTTTTATATTTTGTTTCGTTTTTTTTTTAATTTTCTAAAATTTTGCATGACGAAGTTGTAATAACTTATTCAGAAATGCAGTAGTTTTTGATTTTTTAACATTCTCCTGATAATTAGTGGATATGGGCATCACAGCCTAGTCATTTACCGAATACAGAAATAAAATATTACATATAATATAATATAACATAGAATGATTACAAACGAATTAAAAATAGTCGGCAAAACTGGTGATGAAAACTCAAAAGCTGCATATTGTGATTCCAAATAAAAATGAATTACTTACAGTGAAGCGTTTTTCAACTTCTGTACAAAAAGAATAACATAAATTGTATAAACTACAGAAAAAATAAATATAATTTTTACATTGAAAAAAAAAAGTTAATTATTTTATTCCTCTTATTTTCAGGTGTTGGTCCAAAGAAACATCTTTCGACATAATTAAACAAGTTCCTGTTGCTGGCACAATTATCCTTAACTTGTTGTTCCTGTTAAACATTGTTAGAGTAATGATAACAAAGTTAAATAGTGGTCCAGGACACGATTCTGGATCCTCTAGATCTTCTTTACAAGCTCTAAGGTAGGCAATACATATGTACATGGTTTAATTTAATATTTCTCTATAAAGGCCTTTACAATTAAACCATTATTGTTTTAAATTTGCGAGTAGGTAATTACATATTCTTATAATTTACTATTCTGCAAACTTACTTAAAGTTTTAAACTATTTATAATTATAGATATAAACAAAAAGTAATTTAAGTTTACTCCATTGTTTAACTTCTAAAATAGGGTTTAAAGTTACGCTTTAACAGCATAAAATTTGGCATTAACCTGCTTGAGATTATGTGCATTATAAAAGCTCAAAAATCTTCTTACGTTGGCAAGTTATATATTTAATTACCCTAAGGATATATTAAATTCGTTAACAAACTGTTATGCCAATACAATAATTTCACCAATAATCTTATTTATATTGATTAAAGTATTGTTTAAATTGTTATTTTTAAAGTGTACGTAGACAAAATTAAATTCCATCATTCCACACCAAAAATAACTAACCGTTAATTGAAAATTCCCCAACAAAGCTGAAACACAATAGATTAATAAATCTTGAAGTTACTTTATACGGGCTGTTTATAAAAAGCGTTCGAAGCTTTTCAAATTATTTATTCTCTTCCTTTGAAGTGCTTTGTGAATTCCAAAGTTTTTAACCAATTTACAGGATTTTTTGGGTTTGTTTTAAGGTATTGGCATTTTAAGTATACTTGGTGGGTATTTTCGATATTTTAATTCCCAATAAAACGTATTTATTGTGCCTAAAACAGGAGACCAATAAAATATTAAAAACTTCAGACCGATTTTACTTTTTAGCTCCATATCCAAAGTATTGGAAAAACTCGTTGCAAACAGATTTGTGACTACCTTTATAAATTGAAACTAATTTCTAAATGTCAATACGGATATCAAACAGAGACACTCACTACAGAATTCACACAAAATATAAATAAAAAAGTAGATGAAAGTAATATAGTGGTAGGAATATTTCTTGACTTGTCTGGAGCATTCTATACTCTTTATCCAGATTTTTTGTCTAATAAACTATATAACCTTGGCATTCGGAAAAATATAAACAAATGGCTGATATCATACGTGTCCAATAGACAATTTTATATAAAGGTTAATGAGGAAAATTTAAAGATATATAATACGCACATTGGAACACCTCAGGGACTACTCTTGGACCCTTGTTATTTATATTATCTATTAATGATCTTCCCAAATACATCAGCGTGGGAAAATTGTTTGTGTATACACATATATACATATTAATGATGTAACTTTTGTTGTATTTGGCAAGACCGAAAGTAAAATTGTTAATTTGTGATAACTAAATTTAGCAACTGGTGTTTTAAAAATAGATTAATTATTGATGTAAAAAAAACTGTGTTGATCTAATTCTCCTATGGTTATCATGAGAAATCAATAATCAATTTTTTAATTTCTCGAATTCGTCCAAATTTTTAGAAATGATAATAGATAAATCTTTTGCATTGGATGAACACATCGATTTTATAGCTATGAAACTAAAAAAATCCAACTATCGATTAAATATCCTAAGGGACAAATTAAATATTTCAGCTTTTCTTATTATGTATTTTGCAAATATTAATAGCATTGTGAGTTTTAATATTTTATCCTGTCTTGCTAGAAAAAGTAATAGAATTTTTATCTTGAAAAAATATGCCATTCCAATCGGAAAAAACTACATTCTTATAGAGTAATTAGTGTAAGTGTCTATATATACAAACTTCTTTGTCTGGTACATAATAACAAAATAGAACTAATGAATAAAAATAAGTGTCAATACACCACCAGATCTAAGAAAAAAATGCCCATTAAAATATGAAAAGTCCGCTTACTTCGTGGGAATTCGCCTCTATAATAATTTGCCAAATGGTCTAAGTAAAAAACCATTTAAACCATTTAATGAAAAAACAATTGAAATCTTTTCTGCAGTCTGCATGCTGTTATAACAAATTCTTCTATAGTGTATACACTATAGAAGAATTTAAGAAAAAGATTGTCTTTATATTTTTTTCAAGCAGTAAGTAAACATGTAATGTTTATGTTTAGTATAGATACGTTTAATTTATCTTTTTGACCTGTCATATTTACCATTTTCTGTTATAATTCTGTGATAAATAAATATTATAAATTATTATTATTATTATTATTTATTTATAAATAAATAAAATATCGACTATTTTTTTTTAAATTTCGCACTGAGATATCTTCACGGTACCAAAAGAGGTTGCGCATCGAGAATTTCAGTGCAAAATTTCAGAAAAAAAAATAGTCGATATTTTTGAACCAGTCTTATATACAGTGTGACCCATTTGTTTGCAACTCACCCTTGTAAAATCTGTATTTATTGTGCGATTTTAACCGTATTTATTTTAAAGTATAGATCTTGATAAACTGTATTTTAGGAGCAAAAAACGCCATATTTTTACAAAATACAAGGCCTACTATGTCAGTTTTTAAGAGTAAATTTTTAAGAATTTATATTAGCGATTTTTTTAAACAAAATGTACGCACGGCACTGGATTCACCACCTCTCAAAACGAACCTATACTAAATTTTATTGAAAAATTTAATGTAGAAAATGCATAATAACTACAACAATTTATTCTGTTAAGATATCCATAAAAAAACATTGAAATAAAATTAGACTAATAGTAACATGGTACTAATACTATAAGTTTAATTTTTTTTAATGTTTTTTTCATGGATAACTTGACGGAATAAATTTTTGTAGTTATTATTGTGCATTATTCTAATTAAAATTTTTCAATAAAATTTAGTAAAGGGTCGTTTTGAGGGGTGGTAAATCCACCATACAAATAGGAATTTTACTTTAAAATTGAATATCTCATCAAATGTTGTCAAATTTATCGAGTTGGACGAAAAATAGTTCGGTTAGGATAAATTTTATTTTAGGTATATTAAATTTATCTTATCTTATGTACTATTGTTAAAACATTTCAACTTTAACACACTGTTTATCAAAAAGAAGCAATATTTGGACATGGTTTCTCGGAAATTTTGTATTTAAAATAGATTTTTACATCGGCTGCTTTGGTACTGCTACCAAAACTTGGGACGCCCTGTATATTTATTACAGCAAATACAATTTCGTGGTTAAAATGTAATAAATTTTTAGAGCCTGTATGCGACTATAAACTTTTTATCGCCACTTTAATTTCAATGTGTATATATATATATATATATATATCTATAGATACTATTGATACTTCTGTAAATTATAATCTAAGTAAATATTTTAAAACGTATTAACAAGAGGTTTTTCACTTTATTTTATTGATAGGTCTTATAAAAAAAAATGAAATTTCCGAATTTTTTTTAAACAAAATAAAATATACAAAAAATTATTAAAAAAAAATATTATTTATGATAGAAAATTGTTTAATATTTAAAATTAGTATTAAAAAATCTTACGGCCACTTGTTTCTACTATTTACCTATTTTCCTATCCTTTCAAAAATAAAACTTAATAATAATAAACTTCAGTTTGATTAGTTTATAAACCTAAATATTGTACAACACAATATTTATTCCTCATTACTAAAATAAGGGTTTTTTTTTCAGAGCCACTCTTTTGTTGTCTCCACTTTTTGGCATAACGTATTTGCTTATACCACATCGTCCGACCGCGGGCAGCCCTTGGGAACACACTTATGAATACATTTCAACCATCACCGCCTCTTTACAGGTAACAAACTGTCTGGACCCTTAACAATATATTTTCCTAAATATTTTTTATTAAATTTATGTAAAATGGAAAAGTTTAAGGTGACAATAATATTTTCCTTTTATAAAATTTATTTAGGTTTAAAAAGTTTTAACAAGTTTTATACAATAAAGAAATATTTCACTAGAAAGTAGTAAAATATTTTTTATTATTGGATATTTTTAAAAATGGCGAATGCGCCGGGATTAATTTATAAGTACATCTTAGCATATACATTAGCCTAGTGAAAAAATAAAATAAACACGGTAAAAAATATTTATTAATTTTTAATTTTAACCAAATACTAAAATATGTTTTATTTTTTCAAAAAATGGCGAATGCGCCGAGATTAATTTATGTGTACATAATATTATTATGTACAATGTACATTGTACATCTTAGCATAAAGATTAGCTCAGTGAAAGAATTATAAAATATACATTAATTTTAACCAAATATTTACCAGATTTTATGTTAATCCAGGTCCACATAACTTTGTTAAGTTTACAACCAACTAATTGGATAAGTAGTTTGTAATTATAACAAACATTTTGTATATTAAATAACAAAATTCTATGTCAATAATTCAACCAAAATTCTTGTGATTTTTAAAGAGGACCTTATGTTTACAAACCTTTTTGTACAAACCCTGGTTTTCTACAAAAAATTATATTTAACAAAAAAAATTAACAAACTACAAACTCATGTTTACAAATCTGATTTTTATAACAGTGTTAGGAAAAGAAAGACCATTTCTTGCAAAAATGTAAATTAAATTATTTAAAAATTGAGTAAATTTTTAAATAATTTTATTATTTTATAAAGAACTAGGTATCTTAAATTGTACTTTTTGTAATATATAAAAAATTTAAAAAAAATAGTGACCTTTAGAACGGGAACGAAATTTAAAATGAAATATTTACTTCTTATTTCATTCACGTTCAACTTAAAATTGTGGCCCAGATGCCACTCTAAATGTCACCTAAAAAAAGATTTTAAAGTCGTAAAATATAAAAATAAGTGGTGCCATTCATTTTAATTTTTTGTTCAATAGCAGCACACTTCCTTATAACTTTAACAATAACAATAAAATTGCTAATTCTGGGGATTTAAAAAATAATTTTCTATTAAATTTTTCAATCCACGCTATTACTAAACCTTTGTTTTAACTGAGGGTATCAAAGACAAGCTTCCAATTGCTAAATTACAAAAAAATTATTTTCTACAATTAAATTAAAAACTCTTTAAAAAAGTTGCTTTAACGAGACATTAATTAAAAGTTTAAAAATAAATGTTGACCTGAAAAATTAAATTATTAAATAAATCTTAATGATTCATATATTAAAATGTAATATTACTTTATACGGCTTTCGGCACTGTTTCTTTTCGCGTGAAAATGCCACATTTTGTTTGTAATTTTATTTTTATAATGCATTTTTTGTGTGCGACAATTTTAATGTTGCACTTAATTTTCTCAGAGTGGCTCTTAAAATGAGCAGACGAATCCAGTAGTGTTTCCGACTTGAAATGGGTCTTTTTAAGTTCACGGTCGGCAATTACTTGTTTTCGAACGCATCCTCGGCTCACTTACATACGTGTCGGTTGGTTCGTTCGTATGTACCTTGGATCCGATTCCACTGGGAATTTATGTGGGATGCGTCAAAGGGGATGATTTTATTTAAGTGGTTAAGGTATGCAAATTTATTTAGGTAATGTATATTGACGAGTTGGGGTAAAAAGCACTAAACACACAGTACAAAATATTGTTAATTTTAACTAAATTTTAACCAAATTTTATGTTAATCCAGGTACACATAACTTGCATGTTAAGTTTGCAATTGTTATCTATTAAGTAATTGAATAACAAACATTTTGTAGATTTAATAACAAAACCCTATATCAATAATTTAAACTAACCTTCAAACCAGTAATTGTTAGAAATTGAGAACTTAAATGAAAATAATTTTTATAAAAAATGTTGCTTTTTAATCAATTTCCTAAACAAAAAACTTTAAAGAGGGAACGCATTCGGAAGAAAAGAGATCTCGGCCGTACAGAGGACTAATAAAGGTTTAAATATCAACATTATTAAAGTTATTTAAGAGTAAAAAATAGTAAATCTTCGATTTATTTATAAAATAGATTTACCTATATGTATTTAAGCTAAACAAGAATTTCTTATAAAGTTAAGGCAAACAGAAGCGACGTCAGCACGCTATAAAGTTTGAGAATTATTTTATGGAGAAAGAACCGGCTTTGGATTTAGTCGTGGATTTAATTATTAATTTTCAAGGGGACAGTAAAAGAAATAATTTTATTTAATAAATAACAGGATAATATTAATAAATTTTATCTCCACGCGGTCTATAATTTAAACTTTATTGTTGTCAACATTCGTTAAAGAAATACCTTGTTATGGCCTAGCCCGATAAAAATTTTTATGAGGCAAGTAATTAGTTCGATTTTTTCTCGCTAGGGGTATTGTTTTGACAAATTAATCCTTTTCTAAGAAATTAACGTGCCTACTAAACTGGTTTAATTTATTTATAATAAGCACTAATTTGTTTGTTTTACTGTTAATATTTAATATTTTTCATTAAATTATTGTAAAATTAAATATGAATAATAAAACAAAAAATGAGCTTAGGCAACCAAGAAAACGCACGATTCTTTTTCTACGATTTAAATTATCTTTATTTGCTTTAAGTTTTCAGTGAAATTAAATGTTAAACACAGCTTAAACATTCCAAACTACCTATTTTTTAAATAAAAATCCAAACAAATTGAAATTAGATACCGACCTATTTATTTAACAATTAATTGAATTCAATGTAATAGCAAAAATCCATTTCTACTTAAATCATGTTGCTTGGTATTGTCAAACTATTACTGCTTCTAAAAGCAATAATAATTATTGTACATTTAATGTAATCTTTAGCTAATAAATAAATGAGATTCTAAAAAAGTCAGGTTAGGCCGCTTTGATGTTGAATTAAATTGAACTATATAAAGTGCTTTGAAGATAAAATGTTGTATGCCATTCGGCCAAGAAGTGCCTTTTTGTGCTTCGCTCAATTGTAGGCCTCCGCTACGCGTCGGCCTTCAAACCTTGAGCTTAGCACAAAAATCCTTACTTCTTAACCTAATGACATAAATAACTATTTAATACTTGATTTACTTTCATTTTAATCCACTGTGCAGAGCGTTCTTTATCCTAAGGCAAACTCAATGCAAATTAGAGATGGGCTATATATATATCGATGTTCATTCAACATCGATGTTTTGATACCTATGTTCGATGTTTTTACATCGATGTTTACAATATGTAATTGTCTTCTACTTCTTCGTGGCAAAAAGACTTAATGGTCTCGGTTTCAATAAAGCATTTTGACCAGCAATAAGTTTTAACGTCCATGCGTTTCACGAAGCAATCCACCCATGGACACGTGCATTTTCCAATCTATTACCTCGCTAAAAGGTCAAAGCTTGCGATATTGTCCAAAAATACAGGTATATTTCTATACCCGGAATCCAATTTTGTCCCTACTAGGTCGAAAAGTTAGCACCAACAAAACCGAACTCTATGTAATTGTCGATAAAATATCGATGTTACAAGAAAAATATCGAACATCGAATTTACGTCTAAAGCGACGGCACATAGGTACTTGTGGAAGTATGTAAGCGACGGATATTTGAGTGCCATCTAGCGTTTATTTATTAAACTTCAATAAGAAAATTCAACTGGTAAAGTAATTATGGAATTTTTTATGAAGAAAGGCTTATGTTTACAAAAATTGCCTTCATTTGCTTAAACAACATCGATGTTGATAAACATCGATGTTTGGTAGCTAACATCTTTCCAACATCGATGTTAACATCGTTGATAGACATCAATGTTTGTTGACCGATGTCCCATCTCTAATGCAAATGAAGATTTTAAGAGCTTTCATCTGCGCATCCGTGGGGTTGTACATTCGTACGTCTCTAGCTAAATTTGCCAAGCTGGAGTCCGTGCCCGAATTTAAGTTATAGTTTACTGCCGGCGAAATTAAAAGGTCAGTACAATGTTCATATAAACTTTTCAAATATTGGCGTTGAGAAACTATTTAATACTTTTGTATTTTTGTATTGATATAATAAAATAATTTTCACATTTAGTATTATTTTACAAGAAAGGCAATTTATTTTAACGATTGTATGACATTTGACAACTGTCAACTAACTTAAAACTAACTTCAGCCCGTGACTAAAGCGCCATAAAGCCACAACTTGTCAATGTGTATTTAAAAGGTCACTTAGTGTCATGGAAACATGTATTATAAGGGAAGTTTTAAAGGTGGGAGTAGAAAAAATATTTTTAAAATTAAAAGTTAGATTTCAAAAGCAAAATTAATGTACCCGCAATTACTTGCTAAACCATCATATGGAATCAGTCAAAGTGTTCCAACAATTTTCAATGATAAATTTTGATTTATCATAATCTTGTTTGTGTCGCCGTGTTCGCATAATTTGCCACGATTCGTGCAAATTATTTTCCAGGTAATAAATTTATTTTATCATCCCCTATGCAAATCGTGGGCGGAAAGTTCAAAAGGGTTCCTTATAATTAAATTTAATACGTAATATTGTTTTGCAGAGGTAAATGGACGTGTTCGTTAGTTCAATTAATTAATTATTTACTTAGATCATTAATGGTTTTGCCTTGAACAATTGGTTTCCATCAATTAAAAACTAAAAATAGATAAAATATGATACTTTCCAAAAAATGTTTTAGCATTTAAAAACATTTTTAAATAAAATAAAATTCAAAAATATGCCTTCGGGCACCATATAAATGAAGTAAAATGGAAATGAAAAAAGATTTGTTTTTAAATTGTAAAGGCCCCCTTAAATCAAAATTATATTCTATAAATAACACAGGTCTGCAAGTGAGTGATAGGCTGAATTCAAATGTCCTACACCAAACATACTCGGTATTTTTAAACCCAATTAAATGATTTGAAATCAACGAAATTAAATTTTGCATTTGTAAAACTCTAACAATAAAAGTTTTTAGACACGGTATTTCCTTTAAAGTATGTCGTAATTTCTATACTCCACCATTAACGTAAGATCTTACTTCAAGAGATATGAAAAGAAATACATTATATTACAATTAAACAATCTTAAGCGATCTTTCGAGAGTTTTTGAACCGAGTGTTTTCTGAACAATGGGCCGGTCAGATCTCCAGATATATAGTATATATGTAATATACAGGGTGTTATGTAATTAATGTTATATATTAAAATGGGTTGTTCCTTAGGGTCCATAAAGAAGCACCTGAAACTTTTTTTTCTAAATTCCAAAGACTAAAAATAATTTATAATAACCTTTATCCTACCAAAAAGTACGCCACTGATCGACTAGGAACTTTAGGCTAATCTGGTTGCCTAATTTAATTGATTTTGTTATGGTTGGTAACAAGTTATTAAACAACAGCGTTTCCAAATTCTTTGACAAACATTGTTTAAATTTAGCTTAATTACAAAAATGACAAAATTAACAAAGCAAATTGTCAATTTGGCGTTTTTATTAATTGTTAGTTATGTCATTTTTGTACTGAAGGTAAATTCAAACAAAATCTGCCAACTTTTATCACAGAATCTAGTGCATTTCTTTCAAATTTTAGGTTATGTGCTCAAATTGTAAATATTTTAACTAAGGGAAGTGCTTTTGGATTTATTTACACACATTAAATCTTTAAAGTTTAACCTGTGAACTGGTCCCAATTTCATCTGAGTAAATAGAAAGAAAAAAACCGATAAAAAAAATTAATTTTGTGGTTATGGATTTTTTAAAATAGGTACCTACTAAATTTTCTAATCACAGCTAATAGCTGGATGAGTAAATAAATACAGAAGGGTATTAGAGCTTTAAGGGCATATAACTTTTGTATTTAGGTATTGAGTTTTTATTCATTTTTAGTAACAATTTTTTACATCTGGCAACGCGCAGCTACTTTGTTGGTTGGTATCTATGTACTCACAGAACACAAGTGTGCAGAGATAAACCAAGTGTGTAACCAGTGGCGTATCACAAAAAATATAAAAACTTCTAATGCATATTTTTTCTTTATCTTTGGAAAAATATTTTTTTAAATATTTTTCCTTTACTTCTTATGTAAAAAGGTATTCAGTATTTTAATATATAACATTAATTACATAACACCTTGTATAGAAAGCCATTTAAGGGATTTGTATAACCAATGTTTAAATATGTTACTGTGGCCATTTATTATGAGATTTTTTTTGCCCTAGCTTTGTCACCCTTTGTTACCCTGAAACTACCACCGACATATTTCCAAGGTTATTTTAATAATTAAATTTTAATGTATTACTACAACAAAACAGCATCAGAAGCTTTGTAATCAAATTGTGGTTTATTTCGATTTAGTCGAGGGTTGCTTCGGTCAACTCTGTTGTCCAGACAGTATGGAATTTTGTTTATAAAAGTTTATTAATACTTTTATTATAAGCTATACCTTCACTGTTTTAATCAGATTATCTTATTAAATTTTAATATAGCTTTTTATAGAAAACCAGGATTTGTAATTATTTTAACAAAGGAAAATATTTAACCCAAAGTTTTGTAGGTTATATGCAATTTTGTTTAGGAAATTGATTAATAAAACAACATTTTCTTTCATTTTTTTTTTATTTGTTACCAATTTTCAACAAATACTTTTGTTACTGGGTCTATAAAAATGTTTGTAAAATTACAAGAAAAATGGTAAAATTATTGACAGGATTTTGTTATTAAATCTACAAAATGTTTGTTATAATTACAAACTACTTATTCAATTAGTTAACAGATTACAGTTGTTTGTAAACTTAACATAAAGTTATGTGGACCTGGATTAACATAAAATCTGGTTCATATTTGGTTAAAATTAACAAATGTTTTTTTTACTGTTTATACGCTATAAGCAATAGTGTTGCCATCTTACTTAAACCAAATAAAACATATTTTTTACAAAATTTTTCATGCAAAACTTTTTTCTAAAACTTCCTGTCAAAATGAATGTAAGCAAGACATCAATCAATCAATCACTCCAAATCTTCTTAAATCTTTTACTTAACAAAACACTTTTATTATTGACCCAAAAAGGATATGTCATCAATTTAATGGAGGAAAAATAAAATATTATCATGTTTCTAAAGGTTTTATGTTTCTCATAAAACTGACGAGCTTCATTGGGGACGCGTAAATTTTGTTTCAATGTAAATACAAAATATACACATAAGAATACATAGCCTATAATTAAACGTAAAAGGAAAAAACACTAAAAACAAAAACTGCGAAATAGATTTTTTTAAGTTTTTCTAATTAATTGCTTTTTCAGGGCCTTTGTGTCGCAATTTTATTCTGCTTCCTTAATGGAGAGGTAAGTGTATTATTTATTAATTAAAAAAAATATTTTTGACAAATACGAGGTGTGTTCAGAAAATAACGGGAATTGTTAAATTTCGCGGGTTCGGAGGGTCCGGTTGTCATAAAATTTTCTTTATTATGTAGGTATACATGCCCCCGAAGTATGATAAAAACTTTAGCTGTTTTCATTGTTTATTTTGTCTGTGGCAGCCGCTAAGGTTAGACGTGTTTTATGAGCTCGGCGATTTTTCGTTCATTAAAAAAAATGGATCAAAGAATTTGTAATTATTTTGCTTAAAAAATAAAATAAATTCTGTGAAATGTTAACAAAGGCCTTTAGTGAGTCTGCTATAAGTAAAACAAGAGTTTACAAGTGGTATAAGAGTTTCCAAGATGGCCGTGAAGACGTTGAAGATGACGAACGCCCCGAACGCACAAGCACATTAACAACCGATAAAAACATAGAAAAAGAGGAAGAAATGGTTACAAACCATCAGAGAAGTCGCTGATGATGTTGGTAAATCGATTGGCTCATCCCATGAAATTTTTTCGAATGTTTTGGGTATGAAACGCGTGGCAGAAAAATTTGTTCTAAAATTGTTAAATTTTAAACAAAATTTTTGGCCAAAAACAATACTGTAATGATGCCCCAGCCTCCATATTCGCCAGACATGCCTCTGTCTCACTTTTTCCTATTCCCAAAAATAAAGAGAACCTTAAAGGGCCGTTTTGCAAGCATAGATGACATTAAAAGCGCATCGCTAAAAGAACTAAAGGCTATCCCAAAGATCGAGTTTTAGAAGTGTTTCGAGTATTGGAAGAAGAGCTGGTGCATAATATCCAATGGGGACTATTTTGAAGGCGACAACATTAATGTAGACAAATAAATAAATATTTGTTTCAAAAAACGAAAATTCTCGATATTTTCTGAACACACCTCGTATATAATGTGGTAAAGTAAGAAGAATCAAGAGTGTATAGAAATTTTTTGACATATTTTAATATTTCAAATATAATTATACGCTTTCAAATTTCCTACATGCACTTAAGAAACACCATGTAGACTTTATTTAAAACGGAACAAATATATTTGCAAAGATTAAAATGTGGTAATCTGCATATTTGAATATTCAGAGTTATTTAAACCTTTTTCTTCAAGTCAAGTCAAGTCCTAAATTAGATTAAATCCACAGAATAAATGGGGTATATAAAAGTTAAAAATGTACAGAATTATTAAAATTTAACATTTTTAATTTTTTAAACTTTTCATAATTCATAAATTTTAGGAAAAACAATTTTCTGGACTATTTTATTCATCTTATAATATATTATGTAAAATATAAAAAATATACTTTTTGCCCTTAAAAAAATATGTTTAATATATAATTTCAGGTCCAGGCTCAAGTAAAAAGAAAATGGAGGATAGCAATGTTCAGACCGAGAGCCAGTTCGTGTACTGTAACCACCGTGTCGGTACGTAAGGTACTAAAAACTTAACTCACTAATACTTTCCTATTTTTTTTGCTTTTTAGCTTTTACCCCAGTAATCAACTTTTAAAAATTTTAATATTTATTTTGCTTAAAGTTTCGTTTTAGTAAGTACCACCTATTCTATTATTTTAAAAGGTTTTGGGTAGAGAATAGAGTTGACAATCAAAACATTAATAACAAAAGATAACAACAATAATTATTTAAAATATAAAATCATAGTTTTTAAACAAAAAATACTTTTAATCCTGCCATCAGCCATTTTACGAATTTTATTACTGTGCAGAGAGTATGTCTAATTTGAAATTTTCCTGAGAAACACACTAATTGATTTTACAACTTTTTATAATTTAATTTATTTCTTGATTAATGAACTTTCCTGAAACAAAAGATCTGTTTAATTTTACCATCTGCAAAATTACATTCACCGAAAGAAGTACACTATTCCTTATTTGAGAGATCTTTTATCATTAACAGCGTTTTTTGGATTATCCTTTTTACAGCAAAAACCTGGACAAAACCATTTCACAAAGTAAATTATATACTTCCCTGAGTATCGACCAGATCTAGACTGCATTGTTTAAATAATATAAATAAATTAATTAAATCTTTAAAAAGTTCTATTATTAAACACTCTCTCTAAAAATGATTTAATCAAAAATGACTAGTTATAAATGGCTAATTTTTTTTCTTATACCATGATATCCCCAACATTTATGTTCTTATGTAAAATTGTCCCCTAAATCCGAAAATTCCGTCAAAAATTATAAAATTAGAACAATTTTTGATATATACAAGGTGTCCCTAAACTTAGTGGCATAAATTTAGCAGATTAGGCAAGTCAAAATAAGACGAAAATCTAAATAAATATTTTTCCTCATTAGTAATGAGTCATTACGTATGTTTAAAAGATACAGGGTGATAAAGTGTTACTTATCATATCAGTTTTTTTAATATAACTTCTACTGTGGTAGACTTGGAAAGGTGATATTTTGCGAACTGTCACTTACTACCAAAACAGATATCGCTGGTTTGGTGCAAGACTATCCTAAGTCCATTTTCAAAGAATTGGAAAGAAACACTATTAAACATTTACCTATATTTATTGTGACTAAATCGATTTTTTTCGTCATTCTTTTAAAAATTGGATGGTTTTACAAGAATGACGCAAAAAAATTTAATTACAATAAATAGAAATGTTTAATAGTAATTCTTTGAAAATAGACTTAGGATAGTCTTGCACCAAACCAGCGATATTTACACATAATTACAATTGTTCGAGTGAACACAGCGTCGTAGAAACAGGGGTTGCTTAAGCTTATTGTCCCATACAATCTTTGAGGTTAGGTTTTTATACCATTTGATGCAATTTTTCGATTACTCAGTTTAGCTACTATTAAAAAGGTGTACCTCTTAAACTTCGATAAAATAAACCGTTTCGAGATATTCAAGATTTCAATAATTTTTATATCGCATTTAAGGACTAGAAGGTATATTTTTTAATTGAAAAACTACAATATTTTTAATGTGACGGTCAGGGCAAAAAGTCCTGAGGCTCATAGAATGCTCTTTTTAGTTTTTTCAATTAAAAAATAAAATTTGTTATCATTTACCTTTTAATCTTTTTAGACAGAGAAAGACATGTCTTTGCAAACTATTTGAACTTCTTAAAAATAATTTAAATATTTCAGAAACGGTTAAATTTAGGTATATGGTATGTTATATGAAATATGCTTAGAATTTTACAAGGAATTGAAAAATAAATACATATATATATATATATATATATATATATATATATATATGTATAAACTTTTTGTTTTTCCCTGTATACTGATCAATTTTCCAATTTTCTTTATACGTAGAAAAAAAGAATTTTTTAGTACCTACATAATCTCACTTTGAAATTTTTTCGGACACTTAAAATAAAAAAGTTAAAGGGGGGCGACATTATAGGGGATCACCCTGTACAATAAGCTTAAAGCAACCCCTGTTTCTACGACACTGTGTTCACTCAAACAATTATAATTATGTGTGAATATGTGTTTTGGTAGTAAGTGACTGTTCGCAAAATATCACCTTTCCAAGACTACCATAGTGGAGGTTATATTAAAAAAACTGATATGAAAAGTATCGTGGAAACATAAGTGATTAGGAAAAATATTTATTTGGGATTTCGTCTTATTTTGACTTGCTCAATCTTTTCCTAAATTTATGACAAGTTTAAGGGCACCTTGTATAGTCAATTTCATATTATATGGAAAATTGACTATATCTCAAAAACTTTTCTACTTTTATAACTTTTGACGATATTTTTGGATTCAGGGGACATTATTACATGAAAATTGACTGCTAAATGTTCGGGATACAAATCGCTATTGACGAGAATTATTATTGGCTGCTTTTTCGCTATGACAATTAGTCATTTTTGACTTATTCATTTTTAGAGAGTGACCTAACAATAGTGTCATTTTATTTTTAAATAAAATGTTAAATTCATAAAGTTAAAATGTCATAAAATGTGTGAACGAAAATAATATTAGTTTTTGTTAAAATAAATTAATCATGTTTGGAAATAATTACACTTATTTACAACTTACAAACTTCTAAAGTTAGTTTTAAACTTTCCTTCGTATAAACAAAAAACTTTACCAAAGTAGCAATTATTCGTTTAATCGAGTGAAATAATTATTTACTTACGTTTAATTTAATCAATTTAGTTTATGTTGTTTTGAAACTGTTTGTTATATTTTATATATTTTTTTTTATTAAATTGTATTTTATTGTGCTTACATAAAATGCATATTCTAAAACTACTGATTTTTGTGGGTTTATTATAAATTTGTAGTAATAATTTTATTTTGTATTAATCCTTTAGTTCGTCAGATCAACTTATCCAGCGAATGGCGAAGAAAAGGTATGACTAGGGGCCCTAGGCCGTAGGGCCTCGCACTGGATAAATTCTCGCCGCACTTCAACCGTAAAAACTGCGGAAGAAAATGCGCAAGTTTAGAATTGAGGTGTTTAAACATTTACGACTGTATGTTCTCTAGCAATACTTAAGAAAAATATTTGCATTTTGTTCCAATATTTTCTTTGCAAACACAACGAGAGGGTTAAATCCAATCTACTAACATTGCACCAATAATAGCCGGTTTTGTTTTTTTACTTCCTTCGAGAATAGCAAAAAACGAGTAAACGTGATATATCTTGAAAATCTTAATTTTGTGAATTTTTTGATAAAAGGATTTAAAAATTCTACATAGAACGTGTTCTGTAATGCAATTAACTAATTATATTTTTTGCAAAAGTATTAAATTACAATTTTAATTACACTACCTACATCATAGGATAATAACCAAGCGTAATTTTAAAATGCAAATAATTTTTATCTTTACGATAAGTTAAGGCTTCGTTGTGTTTTTAAAACCTATGTACTGATGTTTATATTTTGTTTTATTTATTACAAATATAATTTTTATTGCCGGTTAATGTACATAATTTTATACGTAGGGTGTAAATAAATGTTACCGATGTAAATCTAGTTTTAATTCTTTAACACATTTTCATTCATAAATTATACCGCCCGAGGGTTAATATGCAAACAAAAGTTGTATAAAATAAATAATGATTTGTATATTTCCAAAAACTTATTGCACTTCAAATAGTAAATGAGGTTAGTAATTTTTTTTGATTATCTTAGTAAAATTAAATTTCTATGTATAGAAATTTTACAAAATTTCAAATTCAATTCTACACTAAAAAAAGGATTTCTGTAAATTTACTGTACAAATTGTGGGTTATTTGTTGCCTGCAATTTACACAGTAAAATTACAGTAGCTTTGTAGAGATTACATATGTTAAGTAATATCACAAAATTTCTGTAATAGGTGCATAACGTAAAACTACTGATGTTCTGTAATTTTACAGGTCTTATGTAAAAATAGATTCTACGTAAAATAACGTAACCATTACTGTAATTTTACAACATAATTACAGTGATTTTACTTTAATTAATATTTACAGAAACATTTATGTAATAAATACAGAAGAAATTGTGTAACAACACATGGACTTTTTTCACTGTACAATACAGAATTGTAAAATTACTATAAGTATCTGACAAAAACAAAAACATTGGAACCTGTTTAGTACTTTGGCTATAACAAAATGTAATATTACAATTAGAGATGCGACTTGAAAAAAAAAGTCCGTTTTTTTCAGGTTTTTTTTTCATTGTTTTTTTCAAATGGTTTTTTTCATATTTTAGGTTTTTTTTCAAGATTAGTCCCATTTGCCTAATTTTTTATGTTTCCAGTCCAGTTCATGGACTAAAATTAGCCACTAAATGACATTTAGTAATGTAAATACAGTCTCGCGCTTTGCACGCGCCACCACCACCGAATTGACCAATAAGGGCCGCGCTTGTTTTGATTTGGTCCTAAAAAAAGTAACTACCTGCAATATTTTTTATTCAGCGCTTGATTTTTCAAAAAGCTACCAAAAGCACTTTTTTTCATGATTTTTAAATACATGTAGAGAATGGACATTTTTTTATTCAAAAAAACAATAGCAAATTTTTGTAAAACATTTATTCATTGGTGGTTAAGTCAAAACATTCCGTGGACCAAAAAAAAAATCGAATTTTTTTATTACGGTATTCGTTAGGATTGAGCGTTGCACGTTTTTCATCTAAAAACTAGAAACTTAGGCTTCAATTTTTTTTTATCCTTTAATTGTTTCTATTAGTGTTTTACATTGCTATTGGTTTCTTATGTGGAAACTACCAAATAATAAGAAATCAGATTTTTTAGTCTCGGTCAAAATTTTCATTAATAAAAAATGTAATTTATTCTACATTTCACTTTATTATTAATATACATTTTACCCAAAATTTCATTATGAAAAATTACTCCATTTTTTAAGATTGATCTTATAAGATGAAATATATTCATTAACAGAATATGCTTTATTGTAGCGGATTAGAAAAAAAAACAAAAAAAAACCTTTTTTTTCATGTTTTTTTTTCACATCTGAAACCGTTTTTTACATCTCTAATTACAATAAATGCGTATTAAAATTGCAATACAATACAACATGTTGTAATTTTACCATGCAACTGCTTAGTAAAAAAACATTTTTAACAGGGTATGAAGCAACAACCAATTTAATTTAATAATTTCATTTATTATAATAATAGTACTCTTAAAATTACTTTTGATCCCATTTAAAACTCAAATAACTTAAATAATAAAATCACAAATATAAGTGACGTGGAAAAGCAAAGTTTTCAATGTACATTACAGTTTGTGCGGTAATTCACCCGCGAAACATTAAAGTTAAGAAACAAATCCAACTTTCAGGCGAAATAATTTCAAACATGAAAGGGGAAATAGGTAAGTACACCTTCAAGTAAATTTCAGAAAAGTTTAAATTTCAGTAGGTAATATGTTATTCTCTGGAGTCAAGATACCTACACAAGGTAGCCGTAGCTTTTTGTTATTTGGCGTATCAAACATACATATTTCAACATACCCGAGTCCTTTTAGTGAACACTGTCATGTTGTTCAGGGGGGGCAGGCAAGGAAAACCTCATTTTCTTGTAAGTACAACACTTTGACCTAGCTTTCACCCACACCCTGCCCTGGGGGGGTGCAGCAAAAAACCTCGTTACGGAACATTTACCAAATATTTCATTGATATCATTAATTAGTATATGGGTGATTCTACAAAAGTTGGTCAATTTTTGACCTCATTTTGTTTATATAGTTTTCAGTATTTTGTTATGAGAACATAGATAATATAATAGATATACTGTTCCAGACCGGGCCAGTCATTTTTCAAACAGTTTCCGAAATATCTGTGTTTTCTAAATTTGAATGCAAGGGAAGTGACGAGTATACCAGGGTACTAATTAAATACATAATGTATTGGATAATATAAGATTTATTGCAACTTTGAGCATATTATACATTCAATATCTTAAAATCAAATAATACCACACATCAGTGGGCCAGTGGCGGCTGGTGGATTTTGGGTACACCGATATCTCAATTATTAGATATGGGACCCACACCAAATTTATATGAGTTTATAATGACATTAAATAAACAAGTTCTGCGCAAGCAGAATTTAAATTGAAGTTTGCGAAAAAAAGATAACCGAAACATCGAACACGGAACTGACGACATGGTACTGATGAATGGGATACAAATTTGAGATTATAATTCGGAATTAAGTATTTTACTGATATTTTTTATTAGTGGATGCTACTTATCAACAAATCACATATAGCCTTATATAAATTACAATGAAATATATATACGTAAGAAAATAACTACTCGCCACAGTACTGAAATTTTGACTGGAACTATACGTGCATTCACCACAACTTCGCCGCTTGCATTGTTTTCAAGATGACTGTCGTGCAAAGGGCGGGCTCTGTAGGTATTTTTGTACCAACACTTGAGTTAAAACGAGGACTTGACGTTTAAACTTTAATATTTCGCAGGAATTTTGAATTTTAACATTGGACACAGAACTGACGGGTAAAAGTGAGTACAAAGATTATTATTTTTTTTAATAGCTATTATTCGAATCTATGATAAAATATAAAAAATACATTATTTAATGTTTTATAGTTTATAGTGAAATTGAAAAATTTAAGAAAAATTGAATATATTTTAGAATAAAATCATTCAAATATTTGATTCAGGAGTTGTGACACGCCAAGCTACTGATGTTTTGAATATTTATTATGTTTTCTACAAACGTGCTTTTGAAAAAATACTTTGGGTGGATAAGTTAAAAAAACCTGGATCTTTTGTAATATACTAAAATGTTTACAAAAAATATTAAAATACCTACTCTATTGACTGATGACATCAAGTTGTCCAACTTTTGTAGAATCACCCATATAGGTACTTAAAAAACTAAATATTCTTATTTGCTAATCAAAATGGACAAATTAAAATCCTGATAGTAAGTTTTCGATACTCATTTGCTGGTCCCGAAATTCGTGAGTTTCAAGTGAGCCAAATTAGATCGAAATCGTTTGAATTCGGAGCCTTTGTGAAGCCTTTTCGAGTACGTCTGCCATCGACACAGGTCCTGATTAAAGGCTTTAACTTGAAAAGCCGAAAAATCAAATGAAAAATCAACTTTGCCGGCTGCCTGATTGCCGACGAATCATTGTTTTTGGTCTGATTGACTATCGAGGTGTTTTATCTGGTGCCGACATTTTTTGCCGGCAATTAAATTGCTTTTTTCTTTTTTTTGGGTTTTTATTTTAAAACTGTCATGGTATGAGGTGCAACTTTGTAGAAATATGTATTAATGGTAAAATCTGTTTAATAAACAAACCATAAGAAATAATTGCCTGAAATGGCAAAATATTTTTTTATTTACTCGAATTTTCTTGCTTTTGTTAAATAATTTTTTTTAAGTGAAAAGAATTTTTGGGTACATGGTTTGATTAATCAACCGTTTATAGGATTTCATAATGTTTGTGAACATTAAAAAATATGTTATCTATTCAATTACATGTTGAGCACGTTCACTTTACATTTAGCAAACATTTATTCATTGCTATTTGAGTTAAAATAAATACCCACCTAATTCCATTTACTTTTAATATACAGGGAGAAAACTTTAACTGGAATAAACTTAGTATTTCAAATTGTAAAATATTTTTAAAATGAGCTTGACAAAATGTATATTACGTAATAATAAATTCGTAGTGAGAATATCGCATGGCTTCAAGCCAGGAATTGTATGAAAGAAGTAAAGATAAAATTTTATTAAATTCAAACCCATCTAAATTTCTAATAAAAAATATATGCGAAAAGTTTCGAAAGTACTTCTATAATTAATTAATTTAACAACCCAGTTTTGACAAAATTAATCTCCAGATAAATTTAACGGTTGGAGATCAAAATGTAAAACGAAAGAAAGTAATTCGATTTATATGAAATTTTAATGAGTATTTAAATTTTTGGCCTCCCCAATTGACGGCATATTGATTTTAGATATGGACACCGAAAATTTCACAGAATAAATTTACATCATAAAATAAACGTTCTTAATATTTCACATTTGACCTAATACGAGTACGTCCATACAGCATTTAAATAATACCATTGAGTCAATGGCATTAAGTAACATGTTTTATTTATATAGGTTTTTATTAATGGCAATGTCCAATTCCCTCTTTTTAGGTTTGTAATGAGGTTCTGTGGTAAAAATTCAGTCAAAATAAAATAAGCCAAAAGCTATTTAATTGCTTTATTACCCTTTTCGTATGTAAAAAACATTTTAATGAATGGTGTTTTTTGTTTCATGATGGTGGCAAATTTATTTGGTTTAATTAATTACAAGCATAAAAACTGTGAATTTCGAGATCATTTTTGAAAACAATGGCTTTAATTATTTATTATCCTCTGGATATTTTTCGGTTTCACATTGCTAAAAACAAATTTCTTTGTGGGTAGGTATAATTTGAGAATTGAAGTTGTTCTGTAAGAAACAATATTATTTTTATTTCAAAGTATACCTACTTTTAAATAAAAATACTTTTACTTATTACCTATTCATTAAAATTGACAATAATAGCCTTAAAATTATATAAAAAGAGTAGAAATTGCAGCCAAGATAAAAAAAATAAAAAAATATTTGAAATGTCTTCTATAAATGTCTTAATTGTAAAAGCCGTTTTTCAGACAATTTGCCGTTCTATTTAGGAATAAAACCGGCGTGAAAATGTCCAAATGTCAGAAGGCATTTGTGGCGTAAATTACTTCTCCTTCTATAATGTATTTTCCCAACTTGAAGTAAAGTTAAACTATTTTACAAATACAACTTTTGTATATTAAGTCACTGTTTTTCTAGACGGTGTTTGTTTTTTTATCAAGTTCGTGAACTAAGTTTGAACCTATAGTAAATATAGGGTTTAATATTTACAAATAAAGTAAAGCAAACTCGACAGATAAGGCAAACAAAAGTATATTTTTTTCTTATATAGAAGTATTATGGTATAGGTAATCAACGTTTTTTTTTAAATAATCGATTAAATCAAGTTTAACTTTTATGATTAACATTTTTTTATAAAACGAGTTGCATACTATACTTTTTTAAAACAAATACTTATAACACTAGTTTACAGCCATTTTTCCCACCATGTCTTCCTATGATTTTCTTGTTTAGTTTGGCTCACTAAAAGCGAAAATCACACTTAATTTTTTTTTCATGGAAGCGTTTTCGAGATATCAATTTACAATTGTTTTTTTTAATTTTCTGAGGTGTTTTGACGTTTTAAAGTAGGTATACTTCGAGTTCTAATTGATAAAAGATAAGTCCAGTTTAATTTATTTTACATATAGATTATACTTTAAGGAAAAAAATAAGCTGTTGTTGATAAAAATCCATGGATAAATGGCGAAGTTATGAATTTTTCAGTGGAAGAGCAAAATTCAGTTTTTCGAGAATTTTTACGATGTTTCTTCATTTTATTGAATTATATAAAATTTAATAAGGAACATTGATTTTTTTTTAAACATTAAAAATTCAAATTAAATTATATATTGAATATTCAACAATAAATATTGAACATTTAAGATATTGAAGCATGCTTATTAAAATAAAATAAAACTTTCTATGCTTAGGTTTAAAAAAATTCTGGCTCCTTTGTTTTTTGTTGCTTTCGTATTCCGTTTCTCGTATGAGGGACCAAATGTAATCACCCATGATATTTTTGTATCATGGCTGCATCTCAGAAACCGTAATACTGCTTCTCCATAGCCTTCATTTGCTGGTGAAAACGTTCTCCGTGCGCATCACTTACCAAGATTGTCCGGGTTATTTACGCACTCTAACTCTCTACTTCTTTTACTCATTTTACACTTTTTATTAACTAAATAAAACCATGATAAAAATACCTTGTTAAAATATCAAAAAATAACAGTGAAATGTCAACACGAGAAACAAAAGAATTCACGTTTGCGTCAAATTTAAATTTTGAATAATGTTTTCGGGGAAAAAAGTACGTAAAAAACTCAAAAAAATCCAATCATGCACTTTACTTAGGTTTTCTAAAGAATAAACATATTACAAAATTAAAGAACAAAATAAAATAAAATTTTTGCCTTCCACTAAAAAATTAATATCTTCGCAATTTTTTCATGTATGTTTATCAACATTAGCTTCTTCTTTTTGAAAAAATGTCAGCTTCACGAAAACAAATTCAAACTGGAGTTACCTTTTTAATTTAAACCCTTCCCATAGGAACGATATGTAAATTTTAAAAACGAATATTATTAGCTAGCGTTAAAATACTTATCCGATATAAAAAGTATGTAAAATAAAGTTTTAAAGGGCTCAAATACCTTCAATTTAAGGGCTTGTTTGACCAAATCGATCAATGAGATTTCAAGCTATACTCAAAAACGTGAAAACACCTCCGAAAATTGAAAAAAAACAATTGAAAATTCATATTTTAAAAACGCTCCCATAAAAAAAATTTAGTGTGATTTTCGTGTTTATTGGGAAAAATTATAATGGGATATTCCCAGATAGCACAAAGGTATACTATGGACGTCCAATGGACGTATGCTCGTGGACGTCTGTATGTACATAGGATGTCCTTTTTTTTCTATGGACGTCCCATGGACATCCGTTTAGAGTCCAGATGTCACAACTTTGGACATCCATAAGTCGTCCACCGATGGACGTCTATAAGGTGTTTGAACCATTCCTCCAGCATCCAGGACCTGCTTTTTTGCTTACTTTGACTGTTTTTTTGCGACTGTATTTTCATTGCGATGTTGCAGAAAATTTTCTACATGACTGAAATGCCTTTTGTCTGGCTCAGTAACAATCCCACTAGGAATGTAAATATTCTAAAAGTTGTTAAAAGTTACAACATTCAATGTTGAACATTGCAGGAAATCCTTGTATTCGACTCAGGACATAGACTATGACTCAGGAACATTACATTTGCAATACTACAAGTGTTTCACATTTCATTGATAGCTTAAGTCCTTTATAGCACGCGCTTGCTTGAATGTCAGTGAGATTGATCATAACTGTTGTTATGCAGCCAACAATACGTTTTAACTTGCATTTCTGTAATAATAATTATGGACGTAAAATGGACACTATATGGACGTCCATTAAAATCGTACAAAGGATGTAAATATATGGACGTACATAGTACATCCATTTTTAGTCCGTGGACCAATGTACTTAAAATGGATCTTAAACGGACGTCCATTGGACGAGTGGTGCTATCTGGGTTGTGGGCAGAATTTTTTTTCGATTTTGCAACCAAATGATTTAAATTAAATATTTGTATAGAGCGACATCTAACTCGAAACTTATCTCTTGAAATTGAACTAACAACCGTTTAAATCTGATATAGAAGCAGTTTTTCAGTGAAAGTTTTATGGGCACTTCACGGTGGAGTCTCCACCCGAAATTTTTAAGATAATAAAATTATTTCCACATTATTATTTCACTGTATTTTAACGATTGTTTGACATTTGACAACTGTCAACTAACTTAAAACTAACTTTAGCCCGTGACTAAAAACCTTTTGCTTACCTTAGCCCGTGACTAAAACGCCATAAAGCCCCAACTTGTGTAGAAAAAATAAGTCTAAAACTGTAACACAAAAATTAGTTTTATTCGTTAATGATCTAGCAGCAATAATTTAAATAGATAATCGAATAAGTTTGCTTGCAGTTGAAGTAATTAATATGGTAGTTCAAGCCATAACACTTTGTACAATGCACTAAAATTCTTATCTATTTATGTAATCGAAATAGAAAATAAAACGAAAACAGACATTTCTACAATGTCAAGGTGGCAATTCTTTATGTATAAATGTCTTTGTTTTTCTTGGGTTTCTCTTATTTTAAATTTGGTATTGAAACTGCAATTTTTTATGTGCTTCCAACAAGCACAGGCTTAATTACAGGAATACACAAACACAAGTAAACACAAATGCAGGAATTGAATTTATATATTTATTATAAAATAAATAAAAACAATGATACATAAAATAAGTAACGTTTACAAAATAATATAGCTGCTTGTATAAAAATACAAATCTTTTACAGTAAAATTATTAAAATACATAAAAAAATATAAAAAAAATAAGAGAACAGAAAAAACATAATAAGTATTAAAGGAGCTAACTAATCCTATACAAAAATAAGTTTATTGTCATGTGGAAGGAATATTTTGGCATTAAAACAGTTCAATAGATACTAAAATTATGCTGACGTATTATAAAATAAATACTGTTTTACTGCACAGGTACGTTTTTATTGTGAAGTTGACACTGGTGGTGGGGAAGACTGAGGTCCTGGAGGATGAACAGCTGCAGCAGCTTCTCTGTCCATTTGCAATCTCCTTGCTATACGTTTGGACCTTACATTTTTCAGTTCCTTGACAAATAGGTAAAAAATAAAGAGTCCCACGGCCTAAAAATCATCAACAATAAAATATTTTTCACCATGAAATAAATAAATAATTAAGCTTGTGAACATTTCAAGCTTCCTAGAAAGGGTTTTATACAGTTGAAGGATATAATAATAATAATAATAATAATAAAAGTCAGAAAGTGTATGTTTCCATATTTTGTAGGTAAGTAAAATACTTTAACTTATACATTTTATGCTCTCATAATTTGGAAATTGCGTTTTAATACCTGATATAAAGATGATAAAAATCCCAGAAGAGCTCCATAAAGCATTATTTTTTTAACATGTTTCACTAAAGCTTTATTACAACCATTTTCATATAAAACTTGAAAAGTCCCATTAGAAACTTGGTAATCTGTACAAGCTTTTGGATATGAATCTTTAATAGCATAATCTTGGGAACCATGTAAACCGCAACATTTTAACTAAAATACAGAATTATTTAAATATAATTAAGTACATTATTGTGTTGCTTGGTAGGTATATTTAATTATTTCCATCTACAATTTAAATTATGTCAGTTTTATTTAAATATTCATGTCTTCCTGTAGATTTTAATAAATATTATCCAGTACCAGATTTTAATAAATATTATCTTGTAGATTATGATTTCCTGTAGATTTTAATAAATATTATAAAATCCTATACATAGTATAGTATACAAGGTTATGTTACAACTTGTAACTTGTAACAAGAACAACTGATTTAGTTTAACCTATGATTTATTACAAAATCATAAAACATTTATTTAGAAATATAATTTAAAAATTTAAATAGGTGTAATATATTTCTAAATACTTAATTAAATTAAATCCCATTTTTTATTACAAGCAACTTCATTATTAATAATAATAATTTATCATTATCATTATTAATAATAATAATTTATTATTAAATTTTAAGTTTTTAAAAATTTCTTTTCGTCCCTTTTATATAAATTTCATAAATAACCCCAAAACATTAAAATAAAAAAAGTACAATTAAATTTTCAAAACGTAAATTTAAATATATTTTATAATTTATATACACTGCGCGTCAAAATTAACGCATAACAAGTAAAAAAAATCCAACTCTAAAACGCCTTTACCAATTTTATAAAATTTTGGATAAAAAGGGTTTTTCGAGAATTTTTATTTAATAATAAAAAAACGCTCTAAAAAAAAACTTTTATAGGGAATTTTTTTTAAGTAAATAAAAAAATATGCTGTAAAATACCGTATTTTTGTAAGTGGTACAAAACAAACAAACAGTAACGAAAATACAGCGCTTTAAAGTGGTCAAAAATGACCACTTTTCAGCAAAATAATCAAAAAGGGGTCATTTTTACCGACTTTGAAGCACTGTATCTTCGTTACTGTTCTTTTGATTTGTACAAAATTTTTAGGGTATATTAACAAAAACATGGTCTTTAACAGCATATTTTTTATTTATTAAAAAAAATTCCCTAAAAGTTATTTTTCAAACGTTTTTTTATTATTAAACAAAAGGGCTTTAATAATATTTTCTCGAAAAACTTTCGAACACGTAAACTGAGATATTTTTATACAAAATTTCATAAAGATTAGTAAAGGCGTTTTAGAGTTAGACTTTTTTTACTTAAAATGCGTTAATTTTAAACTGCAATCGAATTTTATTTTTAGTTATTTTATTTAATTTTAAATTAATTGAGTGATTATAATTGGTTTTTGATCCCCAATTAAAATAAAAAAAATATTATAAAAAAAACTGACAGCGGTGGGATTCGAACCCACGCCCTTTCGGACTGGTGCCTAAAACCAGCGCCTTAGACCGCTCGGCCACGCTGCCTTATGAAGAAAATCGCTTAAATTACAAAACACTTACGTCGATTTGCAATCGCACCCATTCTTTTTTGTTGTAGTCGATTTTAATCATTTCATCAAACGATTCGGTTAATAATTTCCCAGACTCATTTTCCACTTGACCCCGCAAAACCATGGACCATACCCCAATAGCAAATTCGCCGCATAAAAGAATTAGAGTAAGTATCATAAACTAAAATAAAACATCAAATATCAAAAGTGAAAACTGTAAACAAACAATAAAAATATAGTATATTTGAAAATAATCATAATTTACCATGTAAATGTGGAAATCATGTTCTCTTGAAGGCCCTTTAACGCCCAACCAAGTAAGGAAAAGGTGAATGAATCCCAATATAAAAATAACAATAAAAGGCCCCACACTGCCAGAGGGGACAAATTTAAATTGATTAAAAAGTTTTATTGCTAAAATAGCCGATAAAGAAATAAGTACAATTCCAGACACCTAAAATTCCGAAAATAAAATACCTAAATTGTTGGCAAATAAAATAAAATGAACACTTACAAATAATAACACAGAATATAACACGCACAAAACTTCCTTTACAGTTAGGGAACCCATAATTTAACAATAAAGTTAACTAAATAACTTAAAAATATACTAAATATGTCCCCAGAGATTCCTCTTCATTGTTGTTAAGGCAACATATGATGTAAAACTGTAATAATAATTAATGTTGACCACCTTCAACACAAACACTAGAAAGGACTTTTAAACTCAACTTCATTCATAAATGTCTTAAAATAAAGCACCGAATCCGTCTTCAGCTAATCACATTTTTTATTGTCAATAAGAATAAATAGATGTTAGTTATTTAGGTAATCATTTAAAAATAGAATTAATGCTTCAATCCAAGAAAATTTGTCTTTTTTAACGGGTAATTAACCTTGATACCTCGAATCACAGAACATAAGCCTCGAATGTAGACAACCATGATTACATTATTCCGGCACTGCCAACAAGCAAAAAACAAGTGGCTTTAAGATGGCGACGTATTCGTAAACTGTGCAATAAAAACAAAACCGATAGGTTTAAATACTAGAACAAAATGTATACGCTTCTTCACGGATTTTACCAATACATGGTGGAAAAAGATGAGTTCTGCGTGCTTATTCTGGGGCTGGATAATGCAGGAAAAACTGTAGGTGACAAGAAGTGTTGCCAACGTGACATTAATTTGTTGTTTTTTAGACGTATCTAGAGGCGGCAAAAACAAAATTAACAAAAAATTATCAGGGGATTCACCCTTCTAAAGTTACGACGACAGTGGGACTGAACATAGGAAAAATAGATGTTATGGGGATAAGATTAAACTTCTGGGATCTCGGGGGTCAAAACGAATTACAATCCTTATGGGATAAGGTAAAATATAATGTGTTTTTGTTTATTGAAGGTTTAATTAAGGGTTTTTTAGTATTATGAAGAATCACATGCCATTATTTATATTGTAGATTCCTCAGATAGGGACAGAATTGATGAATCTAAAGAAATATTTGGTACTATAATAAAATACTAATCATTCTTTATATTTTATTTAATTTTTTTTTATGTTATAGATAAAATGATTGCCAATGAAAATATAAGAGGGATACCTCTTTTGGTTTTGGCTAATAAGCAGGATATACCTGAATGTATGGGGGTTAGGGAAGTGAAGCCTATTTTTAATAAAAATGCCCATCTCATTGGAAAAAGGGACTGCATGGTTATGCCAGTTTCGGCTTTAACAGGGTAAACGGTTATGAAAATCTTTTAAATTAATTTTCAATGGGGTTTTTGGCATTGAAGTGTTTTATGGCCCAAAACCACCAATTTTCACCAAAATGCGTTATTGAAAATGTTACCATTGCCATGGCAACCATACTGTTTGCTGTTGCTAGGGACGCTATTTTCCTTAGTTACCATTGGTAACTTACCAAACATTTTCAATGCCTACTTTTTTTGATATAATAAAAACTGCAGATTTTTTTATGTTCTGTGTGTTTTAGTGATGGAGTGGATGAAGGCATAAAATGGTTGGTGGAGTGCATCAAAAGAAATACTTATCTGAGGCCCCCAAGAAATCATGAAGAATCATAATTAAAGCTTTTCTGTGTTTAATTTTTTTTAATAAATAAATGATTTTTTATAGTTATGTTGTTTATTACAGTTTACCTAGCTTGATAAACCAACAAAATGATAATAAACATATGTACTTTTCTTATCTTTTATTTATTATCATAGGTAGTAGGTATTTTATTCAATACTGTGTCCTAGATCCTATAGATCAAAAAAATTCAGTAGTATAAATGTTTTATCAGTAAAAATGTACCCTTATTATGAATCAGATTGGAGTGTTTTACCTCCTGAGGCCAACAGAAGGTAAAATAGAGATTAGAAATCCCTATTTTTGTTAATTGTTCGCTTTTTAATTTTTTGTTTGTATTGTCTCAATTTTTATAATTGTGTTATTTGGGTTTAATCCTGTGCATATAATGCGACGCTTTATTTCGCTTGTGCAGCATAAATCAGCTCTAGGCATAAAAAATTAAGTAGGTATTACTAAGTTTAAATTATTTCAAACGTCGACACCTGTGACGTCACAAGCCGGCCATATTGCAAGTTCATTTAACGTCAAATCGTTGGGAAGGTCTTAAAAACAACTAAAACAAGCCGCTTCATTAGAAACTTATAATTTAATTATCGATAATTGAGTTTTTACATAGTGCAGTGTTTTTTGACTTTTTTAATAAGTTATTTGTTACTTACATGTCATCTGTCAAATTTGACATAGGTGTAAGAAATTTCATTGTACAAATTGTAAATACTGAGTGAATATTAAAATTGAATGAACTAGAGTGGTTTTCTAACAATTCTGGTCGTCTATTTACACTATTTGCTTAAATGTTTGACCGTTGCTTAACATATTGTTAACCTGATTTTGTGCTGTGTTGTTTTGTTCCAAAAGCTAATATGAACGCCTCAGAGCATGGGTAATTATATATATATATTTTTTTAAATTAAAAAGTACTAATCCGGAGTGATTTTAGATTTAACCCAGCCTTTAACATGGCCACAATCAAACAAGTTGTTAATGAGGCCATCGAAAGAGGTATGTGACTAATTCAGCCCCTTTAAACTATCAATTTAACAATTTCCCGACACTTTTCTCTCATTGCAGTACGAATGCCAACCCCGATGCGACTTAGAGACCTAATAAGGCAAATAAGGGCAGCTCGCACAGCAGCCGAAGAGCGTAGTGTTGTTAATAAGGAGTGTGCCTATATAAGATCAACTTTTCGCGAAGAAGATTCAGTGTGGAGATGCAGAAACATAGCCAAACTGCTGTACATACATATGTTGGGATTTCCGGCGCATTTCGGTCAATTAGAGTGTTTAAAGTTGATTGCCAGTTCAAGATTTACTGATAAAAGAATAGGGTATTTGGGTGCTATGTTGTTGTTGGATGAGCGGCAGGATGTACATTTATTAATCACCAATAGTCTTAAAAAGTAAGTTACATTAGTTATATCCAGCTTTTAATAAGCTCACTGTATCAAATTTTTTTTTGAAAATTGCTCAAAATTGCCTATTTTAGGAGAAATTTTATAAAAAAAAACTGGGTTTTTAATAATTTTAACATTATTTTGACAGTTGCTGTATAATCCCACTTTTTAACAACATAATCTTAAAATTTTTGACAGATATTTTTAAACCTCGAGGTGACACCAAAGATAATACCCCCCATTTATTATCTTTGGGTGACACTTTTAAAGAACATAACCTAAATTTACTCAAGTGGGTAGATAATTAAAAAAAATCTAGATAATAAATAGTATATTGTGCAACTGGTTTTATAAACGTCATTTAATACACGAGTTTAATTATGCACACGCTGAGTGATCTTAAGAATTTTATTTGGCATTTTATCTGACATCTGACAACTATCAAGTGGTTTTAACCTCACTTTTTACCAATCTGACATCTTTCAGGCGAATTTAACCTCACTTTTTCATATTCAATTAAGATGATGGGCTTCTGAAAGTATTTTCGGTTTCTACAATAAAAATCATGAATTATAGCGTTTACAGAATGTTTAGATTGTTTCTGTTTTTTTTTAAATATCAATTTAAAGTTTTAGTGATTCTGGATCCCGAAATATCGTAAAATAATAAATAATTAGTACATAAAAGATAATTATTGGTTTTGTATATTGTTTTATAAAGTAATAACAATCAAATAAAGAAAAAAATAATAATAAAAAAGAATGAGAACAATAAAATGCAATTTGATTAAAAAATTGAACCTTTTTCTGGATTTAATATGTTGTAGTGCAATTTCTTAATTCTTTCTACCATAATAATAATTATGGTAATTATTATTAATAATAATATTATTATATTAATTATTAAAAACATATTCTTTTTAACAAATAGAATGAATCAACATAAAAGATATAACAAAGTTTATTAATAATTTTATGCCAAAATTTCCATTGCCACAGACCAACAAAAATCTGCCAACATCGAATCAAACCTCTTTCCTTTATAACGATTTTCCATTTCCATTATTGTTTGATGCTCTTCTGATTCAGTGGACAGCTGATTTTCAAACAGGTCAAGATGTGCATGGAGCAAATGTACTTTTAGTGTCCTGTTTACACCCATTTTTAATTTTTGTTTTATTTCTTTTTAATTTATTAAAATGACAACAATTTCCTACCAGTTAATTGGTTTAAATTAATAAATAACGGTTTTTCGGGTTCCAAAATTAATAAAACTTAAAATCGATATTAAAAAAAACCTGAATCAATCTAAACATTCTGTAAATGCAAAAAGGCATTCTATGGATAGGAGGAACGAAAACCACTTTTAGAACCCCATCATTTTTTTTGCTGTTGCACTGTGTTATATTTAGTGTTTGAGGTTAAATAGGAAAGCTATAGCTGTATACAGGAGACCAAACAGATTAATTTTGAATATTTTCTTAAAAGTTTTAAGTTTTTAAGAAAATATTTAATTTTTTCGGTTCTTCTGTAGTTTTGATATTTAACTTCATACAACAAATTTTCATTTCAACAAAAACTTCTTTTTAAAAAGAAAGAAAGATTTTTACGGTGTCAGTGGCACTCTTTCTATGCTTTCAAAACTGTCAATTTTTGTTGTCAGACTTTGAGTTTACAATGTTGTCAAATTTGAAATTGTGTTTTTAGTTGTATATAAAAAATATTTTAAGTGAGATTTCGGCCATTTCAAGCGGATGGACGGGACAAATCACAAAACTGTTTTTATAAAAAAAATTGTAGCTAATTAATTATATATTATTTTTGCATCAAAATTGTCAAAAAAATTCTTCTATTATTAGGGTATACATTAAATAAAAAAAAATCGCAAGAAATATTTTATAAAAGTAAAGATAATTTCAATAATTGACAGGGATAGACGGGACAAGATAAAAAAAATTTTGTCCCATCCACACCTTTCAATTATTAAAATTATATCTAATTTCATAAAATATTTCTTGAGTTTATTTTTATTTAATGTATAACCTAATAAAAGAAGAATATTTTTGCCAATTTTGATGCCAAAATATTATATAATAAATAATCTACAATTTTTTTTATAAAAACAGTTTTGTAATTCGTGCGTTTCGCGCGCTTGAAATGGCCGATTTACTTAAATGGGTCATAAAAACAGTATTATAACCCTTTAAACTTTGTCAATGGAGTGCAAATGATTTGCTAAATGAGCCTGTAAATCCAATGTTTTTTATCAGGCCCATTAGCTTAAAAACACTTTTTTTAGCGATTTAAATTCCACCACCCAATTCGTGGTAGGGTTGGCGTTGTGCACATTAGGTGCCATAGCCTCCCCCGAGATGGCGAGAGATCTAGCGGGCGAAGTCGAGAGGCTCATGAAGTCACCTAATGCCTACATAAGGAAAAAAGCGGCCCTGTGCGCCTTCCGAATAATCAAACGGGTTCCCGAACTGATGGAAATATTTTTGCCGGCGACCAGGAGTTTTCTCTCCGAAAAGAATCACGGTAAAAATGTGTTTGTTTTTAGCTCTCAAGTCCTAAGTGTTATGTTTTTGCAGGCGTGTTAATTACAGGAGTGACGTTGATAACGGAAATGTGCGAAAATAGTCCGGATACTTTAAACCACTTCAAGAAGGTAAATCAATTTTATTTATATTAATAATTCTTCAGTAATAATAGCATCAAAATTAATATTGCTGAATTATGTGGGTAAAATCTCATAATCAATAATTGAAAATAAATTGGTGACTAAGGCAACAAGCATTACTTATGAAATGTTAAGGGGTTACATACAGTTAGAATTTTCAAAACACCGAATTTTTTTTTATTTTATTTTCTTAATGTACATATATTTAAGAATACACACAGAAAATTTCATATCGTTCCGGTGAATATTTTCAAAGTTACACACAAATTTGAAAAGGCGTTTCAGAGTGCTTGGAAGTACAAGGCCGGAGAGGCAGCGACTACCCTTTTATGCACCTGCCTTGTAAATGCTCCCTTCTAATGTATTTAGATGTGTAAATCAACAGTGTGAACAGGGTGTATTATATTGGTCTGTAATAGACGACTCCATGTAATTTAAAAAATAAAAAATTGTATTCCATGTAAACTGCATTCCAAACTTTAAACGCGTTTTTCTCTGAATGGTGTTTTCAAAGTCGGTGACCAACATTACTCGAAAACGGCTAAACCGATTAGTCTCAAATTTTAACACGAGCTTCTTAAATATATTTTTTAGTAATTAATCGAAGATTTTTTCTCTCCGATAAATATTTTTGTTTTTATAAACAATTTAAGGCCGAAATTTCGGTGAAAAATCGATTTTTTTTTTTGAGAAACCGCCATTTTGTCAAAAAATTTTATTTTGCTTATTCCTTCGATTAATTACTAGATTAAACATTACTTTAACGAAATCTGTTTGGTTTTTTAAATTCAGATGATCCAGTTCAGAGTTATAGTGGTCACCGCAAAACGTCTTTTTTGAGAGGAGCATCCGGAGATCAGCTGTAGCTCTTTTCCAAATAAATATTTTTACTAGTACTAAGTCTTAAAATATAGTTAAAAGATACCATAATATGTGTATAAATTTTTGGATCAATAAATTTAAAAGTTTTCTCAGAAAAACTTCTGAAAAATTCACTTTTTTTCGGCCTTCTAACTGTATATAACCCCTTAAGGGAGTTTCACTTGTTGTTAATTAAAAATGTGATTCATTTCCCTGTGAAATGGGACATAAAAGTATTGATTATTTTGCATGTGCACTAGGGTGGTCCAAAAAAGTGAAATTGATTTTACAGATTGTCTCACCTCCCAATGTTTTTACCTCCAACATCAATAAAAGTGCTCATTAGCTAAGAGATTTCAGTTTTTTTTAAGTTTATTTAAAAAAACCATTACGCCATCTTTTCACTGGTTAGATAAAATGTTATATACATTAATGTTACAATTACCAAAGAATATTATTTACCTAAACATATATTTCTTACACACCCTTACCTTTAGTACAGCCCTACATTCCGGACAAAAAACTAGTTCAATCAGCTAATCCCGCACCTTTCCCTAAGAAACTAAAAACTACACTTTACAGTTTAAATGTCATAAGTGCTCCGGAAATTCCAATTTTTATTCGATTTAAAATATGATTGAATTTTACAAAAACTCCACAATCCCCTTGTTGCTAGCTGCATTGAAACAAAAGTCTCAAACGTTATGACGACTAAGTAGTCGAGTTGGCTTTGGTCGTTTTGGTGAACCTCTGGCACCAGGGCCAGGGCCAGGGCCAGGGCTAGGGCTAGGGCCAGGGCTAGGGCCAGGGCTAGGGCTATATATATCAACGCCAGGGGGTTCAAAATATTTCTCTTTCAAGGACAGGGTGTGTTACATATTACGCCAAGAGAAAAATAATAATAATAAACGATTTGTTTTGTTTGGTGCTCTTGTTAACGTTAAAATCTGGATCAAGGCACGTGTGCCACAAAGCTCCTATGTCCGACCTAACTTTTTGGAAAGATTTAGAACGCTATGAGGAGATAAGCGAGGTTGCTAGATATACTCTGAAACATCATCTTTGGCACTTAACAATAATAATATTAATAATCATAATATTAATATTATATGGACTTTGTCTACGCAATAAATTATTTCTTACTTATATTTTTTCAAGGTCGACTGTGAATTGTAATACTTTGAGTTGTAAATGATATAGCGAAAAGAGGGATAAAACTATTTGAAGAGCATAATCAATTATAAAAAATGAGGACGAAAAGCAAGACTTGTTACAAATCGTAGAAGCGAATCGGAAATCTGTTCGGACAGAAACTACAAAAAAAGCTGTAAGAGTTCTAGACCATGATTTTCATGTGGATATATTGTCTTCAGATTCATTATATTATAGCTGTGAGCACTCCTTTCTAATTAAGCTAGAGGGTTCAAATTTTGTAAAATATCTTTTTTTACTTTATATAAAAAAATTAGAGGGTGAGAATAAGTTTATTTACAACTTCACTTTTTTAATTCGTTTCTGGACCACCCTAATGTGCACTGTTAATGTTTAAGAATTAATGAAAAATGTTTACTGCTAAAAACATTTTTTACGCGAAGTGATGGTAAAAAATTTATATAAATTTTATATCATATTTTGTTTTAAAATTAATATTTTTGACAAAAACGATTTGTTGAGCTTTAAAGTAGTTGTCGTGCTGTAAGCATACCATCAGAAAATTTTAAATTTTTGTATACTTATTAAGGACATGACAATACAATTATCCTTAAAATTTGAAGTTGATTGACCGTCTATAACCTGAGATAAATTCAATTAAAAATTAGATAATTAACATGGATTGTATACGCTTTCTGTAGTTCTGTACCAGTTTCTTAGTTATAAAAAAAAACTAACTGTCAGAAGCTTTTAATGTATTTTTGTTAAAAAAAAATAATTAAAAATTTTTGACCGTCCAATTGTTTATAAATAACCGTTTAAATTTCAACAATTTGTAAAAAGTATACATCACTAGTGTCAAATAAAAACAACTTGGCAACGCTGTACGCGAGTATACAGTAGAAACCACTAATATATGAACGTGACTCATCCGACACATTCGTACGAAGCAATCTATCGAAGGTCACGGTCCAGTGTAGTCCCGTTTGTAAAAAAATTTGAGTGTAATGTTGGTTGCTATACTTATGATATATTTGCTTTTAAAGTTAAATAATTAACATCTAACATAATTAACATCTACGATAATTAAATAAAATGTAATTTTCTTAGAAACTAATTAATAAATAAACTTTTCTTTTAACTTTAATGAAATATTCTATCATCTGATGACAGAACGTACACTCGTGGCGACATCTCTGATTTTAATAACAAATTTTTAGACCGATCCAACCTCACTTTCTTCCAATTAAATTCTTAGTATAGTCTGAAACACGTTTGGAATTGCATATTCCCCTCTCGTGAAACCGTCAAACTTGTTACAGAATATACTATTCTTTTAACTGTAAACGCAAATATTTCAGAATTGGTGACAAAAAACAAAAATGTTTACGCAGGTCAGGTACAAAGTGAAATATTTAAATTGTGTGGATATAAAAACAACTTGCGTTAGTTTCACGAAATTTATTAAATATTGACAATTGTTTCGCTACACAGTAGCTTCTTCAGAATGTATTAAACTAATACTAGTACAAAATTTATATAATAAAAATATTTTTGTATTCTAGCCTAGAATTTCTAGGTAAGGATTTTTATACGACATCTACCTGTGTTACATAACATAAAACACTGCCACTACAACGTTTAAAACGATTATTAATCCGTAAACACACAGTAGAAAAACGATATTCAAAAACAAAGATCATATGACATATAAAAACAAATGGCCGACAGTAAAGTTGGTTGCCTTACTATGTAATAAAATAAAATAAATGCCTAAAACACGAACTCTACTGACTTCCAACAAAATTAAGTAACAAGCTAGGACACAAGCGTCATATGTCCATCTTTGTCCAACACCTAGACAGTTTTACATCACAGATGGCGCATTTTAGACCGGATGCTTAAAAACCTACGTGTGAGTACATTTACCGCTGCATCGAATGTACAAGACAAGTAAAACATTACTGCTAGCATGTCTGAGATATGTTCGGCACCCGATGAATCACGTTCATATATTAGTGGTTTCTACTGTAGATATTATTTCCGCAGTAAATTCAAACAAACTGATTCAGTCTCCAATATATCTATTGGTTGAGTATAAGCGACGTTGCCGGATTAAAACTTATGAAAATATTTGAAAGTATTACGTAAAGGTAACGTCTCCAGGGTACAGTCTTGCGAAAAAATTATGAATCACTTAGCTACAAGCTCGTATACTTTTACGGTGCGTATAATCTAAAATTTTTTGACAATATTGTACCACGACAACTACCTTAAAACTCAATTTTTAAATAAAACTTTGATAACATGTTTAGACAAATTTTTTTGAAGATATTAACTTTTGTAAAAGTTTATTTATAACGTCAGTTTAATAGACAAAAAAGTTAAGCATCATTACAAATTTCAATTTTAAACCTTATAATCTTTTTTTCAAAACCCTGTATAAATATAACAAAATGCGTATCATGTTTTTCTTATTTTTTGAATTTATTAAAATTATCATTATTTATTATTATTTACAAACGTGACTTTATACATATTATATGCCAATTTTCATGCCATTAAATATGTGTTAATATGGAGGTCATGTTATTATTATGCAATATTTGTATGCAGCTTGTAAACCATATTTATTGTTTTTTACCATTAGGTAAATTGTTTTGTTTTTAGTTTTTTTTAATGGTCAGCTATTGTTATGTATTTAAATAAAAATAAATTGAAATATATTTTGCAAAAACACAAAAAAAACTTTTTTTTATAGATTGTGCCAAACCTTGTGCGCATCTTGAAAAATCTTATAATGGCTGGTTATTCGCCGGAGCACGATGTATCAGGAGTCAGCGATCCCTTTTTACAAGTAAAAATACCATTTCAAATATTTTTTTTACATTTTTAACATTAAATTGTCTTGTAGGTAAAAATTCTTAAATTATTACGCGTCTTGGGTGTTAATGACGTGGACGCCTCTGAAGCAATGAACGACATTTTAGCACAAGTAGCAACCAATACGGAAACCAGTAAAAATGTTGGCAATACAATTTTGTATGAGACAGTGTTGTCTATTATGGACATTAAATCAGAAGGAGGATTAAGGGTAAGAATGTTGCATTTTTTAATTCAAATTTTTATTGAATATGTATGTAATACAAACATAAAAAAAAATGTGGATTTAAAAGTATCATTTAAAATTTTTAATCAATTATGTATCAGTTTCTTATGAATTATTAATATTCAAAGATTCATCTTGTTGGATCGGCTTTGTAATTTGTTATCCTTGAAAAACTACAGGAGATATTTTTGTATTAATTTATAGAAAACTGAATACTTTGTGTGGATACCAACTTTCTTATTTTCAAAACCATTTAATTTTTTTGGATTCTACAAACTTGGAAAATTGCATTATTCCAAAACTCGGCTTATCCATTTTTTAATAAAAACGACTTAGAGGTGTCTGAACATTTAACATGTAGCCCCATATACCCTGAAAAGGTCATAATATTTTAAAACTCACCTTATTCCATTTAAAATTCATTTACAAATTGACTATCATTGCAAACTTGCCTTATCTATAGGTTATATCATGTCAGAACTGGCTTATACAGTGTGATTTGTTTTAAAGGGTAGATCTTGATAAACTGTATTTTTAAAACAAAAAACGCCATATTTTTACAAAATACAAGGCCTATTATATCAGTTTTTAAGAGTAAATTTTTAAGAATTCATATTGGCGATTTTTTTAAACAAAATCTAAGCACGGCACTGGACTCACCACCCCTCAAAACGACCCTATACTAAATTTGATTGAAAAATTTTAAGTAAAAAAATGCACAATAATAACTACAAAAATTTATTCTGTCAAGTTATCCATGAAAAAACATTAAAATAAAATTAATGTTTTTACATGGATAATTTTTGTAGTTATTATTGTGCATTTTTCTGCTTCAAATTTTTCAATAAAATTTAGTAAAGGGTCGTTTTGAGGGGTGAATTCTTAAGAATTTACTCTTTAAAACTGACATAGTAGGCCTTCTATTTTGTACTAATATGGCGTTTTTTGTTCCAAAAATTCAGTTTATCAAGATCTACACTACACAAACAAATCCGATTAAAATCGCACAATAAATAAAGGTTTTACAGGGGTGTCGCAAACAAATGGATCACACTGTATGTATGTAGGTAATTTTAAATTATTTCAAATTGGTGCTATACCTTTATAATCAAGGTATATAAATTTTATACTTATGCCTACTTATTTCGTTTAAACTATTCTGTGGGCCTGAGATGCGTTAGTACTTACGTGTACGTTTTTTGACATTTTGCTCAAAATCACCTAAAATGGATAAGCCGAGTTTTGGAATGCACCTCCTCAATTGTTTACATAATTTTAATTATGACAATTAAGCATTAGGTAAATTTAGTGAATATACTGGCCCTTAATTTCTATTTGTCGTCAAATCAATCCGTTAAACGTCATTAAAACAGGCAAAATAATCGATCCACACAAATTTTCGATGAATTTCAATCGCAAATAACTTGTTTATTTGATGTCTGATTTAAACGAATATTAAAGAATATTGTAGATAAATTAATGGACAATCGCTCACATTTTAAAAAATTACCAAAAAATAGACGTACGTTTATAATATACAGGTTTAAACAAAAAGATGTTTTTTACCATAAGTTTAAGACGCTCTGTAGAGTGTCAAAACCGTATATTGTTCTAAATTAAGTTTTATTTATCAAGTCACACCTACTATTAACAGTTTTGTTTTTGGTTCACCTCGATATATTTATTTTTGTGAAAAATATGGATTTAAAAAAAAAACATTGCAATTTCCAATATTCTTCTGTATGAAGAACTAAGGTTGCTATGGTCCATCCATAGGCTATGGAGAATGACAGTGACAGTTTTGTTGAATCATCCCATACTTGGACATGTCATACACGGCTTTCAAAAGCTATCAAATTGTTTTTTGCAAATTAATGTTTAAATTTTGAGGTGTCTTCTTACTTTAAAAAATGGATATGTCTCCGACTGATGTTGCCAGAGACATTAATTTAATCCAGGATGGACGGTTACAGTATTAAAAAGTGTTTTAAACGTCACAAGAAGTAAAGTACAAAGGGAACATCGGTCGGAGACATTTTTAAAAGTAAGAAGATACCTCAAAATTAACACATTAATTTACAAAAAACAATTTTATAGCTTTTGAAAGATGTATATGACATGTCCAAGTATGGGATGATTCAACAAAACTGTCACTGTCATCCTCCATAGGCTATGGATGGACCATAGCAACCTTAGTTCTTCATACAGGAAAATATTGGAAATTGCAATGTTTTTTAAAAAAAATCCATATTTTCCACAAAAACAAAACTGTTAAAAATAGATGTGACTTGATAATTAAAACTTAATTTAGAACAATATACGGTTTTGCCACTCTACAGAGTGTCTTAAACTTATGGTAAAAAACATCTTTTTGTTTAAACCTGTATATTAATGTATCTGCAATATTATTTAATATTTGTTTAAATCCGAAATCAAATAAAAAAGTTATTTGCGATGGAAATTCATCGAAAGTTTGTGTGGATCGATTATTTTGCCTGTGAGTGTAAATTAAAACATTTCTTGTCGTACGATTTTATTGAAAAACGGATCACGGACAAACGGATACAGTTGTATTCAATAAAAAAGCGTACAAGAATTAGAATGAGAGAAAACTGTCAAAATAATATTATTGCTTAAAACCGGCTTATCACTGACATAAGTCATTAAAATAATTACTATAGGTTATAAAGAGCATTGACGTCGTAGGTTAATTAAATAATAGTACAAAAATTATTACTTTTTAGAACTGAAAAAAAAACAAACATTAAAAAAATTTTAATATTTAGTCATGCATCCGTGTTTTTTTATTACTTGAGCCAATCTATTTGGGATGAACTGAATTAAATTTAATACAATATTTGGATTAATATCTTCCCAGCAGTATAGTAGGTATAGTATAGTTGTATAGTTTCCCATAAATCCTCAGATATCCCAAAAAAGCAGCATCCTGTTCAGGGGTGGACATTTTGGGACGACCTGAACCAACTTTTGGGTTTAGTAAATCTTCCTTTTTCCAGCGTTGCTTAATTTTTTAAATAGATTTTTTATTTCTATTATACCACAGTACGAATTGACCATTCTTCTTCGATTCTTGATTCTATTTAAGCCTTTTTAACTGACGAGGCATTTTTATTTTCTACTGTCAGTTATAGTGACTTAGGTCAGTGGAAAGCCGGTTTTACGCAATAATGTTGACAGTTTTCTCTCATTCTAATTCTTGTACGCTTTTTTAATGAATACAACTGTACCTTGCAGAGAAATGCATTATTTAATTCAATGTAGAATAAAAATGAATTAAAATTATGTTAACGATAAAAATAATTCAATTTCGTGCCTATACTTTTCCATGTATCATGATTTTTTTTTATGTCTAGACATAATTTAAAATCCATTTTTGTGCTCGTTGCATAATAAAAATTGACTTGTAGTGTATTAATAATTTTTATTCTTCTTGGACATTTTTGTTTTACTTTGAATTTTTCTGGTATTAAAAAGTAAAACGGCACGCCATACGTATACATGAAAATTAAGCTCCTTATAAAGTGTCGTTAATTGAAGGTGTTGGCCGTAAACATCCTGGGCAGATTCCTACTAAACAACGACAAAAACATCCGCTACGTGGCGCTGAACACGCTGCTGCGCACCGTGCACGTGGACACCACCGCCGTCCAGCGGCACCGCTCCACCATCCTGGAGTGCCTCAAGGACCCGGACGTGTCGATACGGCGGCGCGCGATGGAGCTGTCGTTCGCGCTCGTCAACTCGCAGAACGTGCGCACGATGATCAAGGAGCTGCTGAGCTTCCTCGAGAAGTCCGACGCTGAGTTCAAGGCGCAGTGCTCGTCGAGCATCGTGTTCAGCGCCGAGAAGTACGCGCCGAACACGAGGTGGCACTTGGACGCGCTGCTGAAGGTGCTAGTAGTGTTGTAAACTTTCGTTACTTTTGAATACTTGTACCGATTCGTTACTTTTAATATCAATACCCGTTACTTTATATTCGTTACTTTCGGTACTTTTAGTCTTCATTATCAGTACATGGTTACTCTACTCTTTTATTATTTTTTATTCGCATATGCCTATGAATTATAGGCGATTTGGTATTTTTAGGAGGTAATGATAATATATAGTATATACGAGCCCTGTCTCAGTGAAGTTGGCCCAACCACTCAAAATATAAAATTTGTAATTTTATGTGATGAAAAGCCAACAGTTTTTTATCATATGTAATTCTTGGTCAATCTTCATGTTGTAAAATTATATTATTTATTTTAAGTTGGAAAAAAAAATCAACAAAAATGCATTAACTTGGATGGCCAGATTTTTTAATGCAAGTCGGCTGTGCTAAAAGTAAAGATAATATTTGTCATTTAAATAATTGTAAGCAAGTCGGTAGCAGGGCTCCCACACCTCCTAAAATTCATAAAATTCCTAAAATTTGGCTTAAATCTTAAAAACTCCTAAAATTCCCCTAAAATTGCCATCAATCTCCTAAAACTCCTAAAAATTAAATATAAGTAGGCCAACTTGACTCGGTTTAATTAAGGTAGTTGTGCTAAAAAATTTCTTTTTTAAAAATTAATTTAAAAAATATATATTTTTGGGTTCTAGTATTCTTTTTAAAATGATATAGGTATCACAACCTACATTTTTCTTAAAAAACAACAAAATATACCATAAAACAAAATCCACATAGTACTAGAAGCTACGTAGCTTCTAGACTTCTACAAAATTGTCATTTTTAGCCATATTTCGTAAATTTTTGACAAAAATATACCGTGTTATATATCAAACAAAAGGATTTTTAATTTTCTTTTAAATGATAGCTAAAATAGTAAACAATCTAAATAATGTTTTGCTGTACTCATGCACTTTATATTTGTTCTATTATGAGATTTTTTAGTAACAATAACATTACAATTATTGTTAGTTATTAACTAAACTGTTAATTTTTTTCCTTCAAAATATAAATATAACATCATTAAACTTGGGCCTACTTTTTTAGCCATATCTATCGACGCTTTTTTTAATAAAATTAAAAGTGGGGTGAAATTTTTACTTCTAGACATATACAAAAGTAGTAATTTACCTCACTTTTCATTTTATTATAAAAAAAACTCGTCGAGCGATTTGGCTAGAAAACTAGTCAATATAACCTATTTGTAGTGATATTTATTTATATTTTTGTTAAAAAGAATTTTTTTCTTATTTTTTAAGTATAGTGTAGATTTGTTTTTATTTAATTAAATAAATTCATTTGCATACTTTTTCTCCTAAAATTCTCCAAAAAACCTCCTAAATTCCTAAATAAAATTTGTAATTTAACCGTGGGAGCCCTGCGGTAGTGACATTCCAGTATATATTTATGCTTTCGGTGTGGTTGACAAATAATAATGTACCGAGGAAAAGCTGTTTCTGAAGAAATAAGAAAAGTGATAATTCACTTGCATTTAAAAAGAAAATCCGCTGCACAAATCGCTGAAACTATTAATTTGTCACGATATACAGTGCGAAATATTATTAAACTGAACAAAACTACGGGATCTGTGGCGCAGAAACCAAAAAATCGTCCTCACTATTCTGATAAAAATTTAAGGGCTTTAAGAAGAATTATCGTTTAAAATCGTAGGGCTAATTACGGTGAATTAAAAGTTTTGTGGAATCAGGCAACGAGTAAATGTTTTTCAAGAGCAACCTGTCATAGAGCTGCTCAAAAACTTGGGTTTAAAACTTACAAGGTTTGCTTATAATGTATACGATTTTTATTTATTTTTAATTTTACTATCTGTAGGCAAAGGAAAAACCTTTATTGACAAAAAACAGAAGAAAAATAGACTTCTCTGGGCAAAAGAGCACAGGACTTGGTGTCAAAATCAATGGAATTCAATTATATGGAGTGATGAAGCTAGATTTGAAGTTTGCGTTGGTGATAATCGAAGCCGAGTCATTAGAACTAAAGCAGAAGTCTTTCACAATGACTGTCTTAAGAAAAAAGTAAAGTTTCCGGCCTCTGTGATGATTTCGGGATCTAAGTCAGCTAAAGGGATCGGTAAATTACACTTTGTAGAGGGCATTATGAATGCTGATAAATATATTTACGTCCTAAAAAATAACTTGAAACCGCAAATTGAAGAAATGCGTTTAAATGATATTGAATGCATCTTCCAACAAGATGGTGCAGCGTGTCATACGGCTAAAAAAGTGTAAGCTTGGATGATAGAAAATAATATTTCACTTTAAAAATGGACATCTAGTAGTCCAGATCTTTCGCCTATAGAAACTTTGTGGTATATTATGAAAAAGAAGCTCAGAGAACAGCCCGCAAGAACCGTCTTAAAGTTGCGTGCTCGCCTGCAAGAAATTTGGAATAATTTTAAGCCGGATGATTGTCAAAAATTGGTTGACACCATGTCGAGACATATACAGGCAGTAATAAGCCATAAAGGAGATGTTACGCAGTGGTAGTTTCCAATTAAAATGTATTTATTTAAAATATTTTTTTTTTTAATTTTTGGTTTACGGACAATATAGGAGAATTTTAAATATTTTTTTATTAGGTACTTAAAAATATAATTTAACGGTAGAAAATTTAATAAACGTTATTTATTTAATTAAAACAATGTGTTAATTTTAATTAATTACCGTATAATATTCTAAATATCTTCAAAAAACTATTTTTGTTAGTTGGGCCAACTTAACTGAGACAGGGCTCGTATAGTATGATAATAGTTTTTGGTACTTTTAAATTAAAAATTTTAAATTTTTAAATTTAAACTTTTAAATTAAAAAAATATAACAGTGAACAGGGATTTTATTAAACATAAACAAAACTTCTTTATTTTCATTTTCATATCAAAACAAAAAAGTATATAAAATAAAATACCATCAGGCAAAACAAAAAACTAAACTGAAAATAAAAAAATAACTTAATTTATACTGCATATTTTTATAAATCATTATTACAATGCAAAAATAGTAGCTTTTTTACATTAGATGATTTTAATCGGTTTCTGCGTACGGTTACTATTTGACCGGCTTTGGAAAATATGCGTTCGCACGGAACAGAAGTAACACAAACAATATAGTAATTAATTTAGGCATTATAGGACATAGGTATAAAAGTAACGAGTAACGAGTATTTCCAACAACAAGGAATCGGTACTTTGAGTATTGGGCAAATGGTCAATTCTCATATAACTTGTTCCGATGCTGTATCCACTTATTTTTGTGAAAACTAATTCTCGCTCAAGGTTTTTTTAGTGTAATAAGCATGTAGCATTTCAAGGTAATGGGAACTTAAATTATGACAACCCTAATCTATTAATTTTTTCCTAAAATGCAGGCTTTATGTTGCAAATGTCACGTAAGTTACCGGTCACCAACTGCAATATCCTAACATCGATGAATATTTCAACAAAATGGCCGTTCAAACAACTAATGTTAGTGCTTGATTAACTAAAAATAGACTTAAGATTGACAAAAAAATTATTTTATCCGAAATCGGCAGTAAAGTAGTCAACAATCGTAAATTAAAATAAATCGGCAGTAAAGTTCTACTTTACTGCCGATTTCGGATAAAATAATTTTTCGTCAATCCTAAGTCTATTTTTAGTTAATCAAGCACTAACATTAGTTGTTTCAACAGCCATTTTGTTAAAATATTCATCACTTACGTGACATTTGCAACATAAAGCCTGCATTTTAGGAAAAAGTTTATAGATTAGGGTTGTCATAATTTAAGTTCCCATTAGGTACCTTAAAATGCTACATGCTCATTACACTAAAAAAAAACCTTGAGCGAGAATTAGTTTTCACAAAAAACAAGTTATATGAGAATTTACCAAATACCCGTTACAAAGTAACGAGTAGGTACTTTTTTTACATCACTAGGTGCTAGTCGCCGCCGGCAACTATCTGCGCGACGACGTGATCGTCTCCACCATACAGCTGATATCGGAGAGCTCCACTCACCAAGCCTACATGACGCTGCAGCTCTACAAAGCGTTGTCGGAGGATTTCGTCAACAGGCAGCCGTTGACTCAGGTTGCCGTGTGGGCCATAGGGGAGTACGGCGATCTCCTGCTGCAAGCCCATCTGGACGACGATCCCAATTACAGGGCGCCCACGGAAGACGAAGTGCTGGATTTGTACCAAAAACTGCTGTGGTCGCCGCAAAACACCGTTGCCACGAGGCAGTACGCCCTTATGTCGTTGACGAAGCTCAGCACCAGGTTCACCAGTACCATCAAGTAAGTACTATGCCCCACCACGTGACCGCGTACGGAACGCAGTCTTTTGAAAATTTGGCATTTAAGGCTTTTCAGGTTATGTATCTCTCAAAGTATAGTCAATGAAAGAAATAATATTTTTTTTCAAGCGGCCATGATATACAACCTTATATGCCTGTATAGAGATAGTTGAAGTGCGTCTTTTTCATTAGCGGCAGACAAAAAACTCAAAAAAGCCTAGGGATAGAAGTAAATCCATAGGTGTCTCAATAGACGTCAAATAACAAAATTAATTTAGCATTTCATACAAAGCAATCACGTTGTATTAATTATATTAATTATAATCGCACGGAATATTTAGTGATTATTTATTAAATTTTAATTGAACGAAATAAAGAACAACTAGTTTATTAGTATAATATTATGATGATAGACGAGTTGCCAATGTCGGAACTCCAAACAAATGTCAGTACGTCAAAATTAATTCAAGCGCAGCATTTTGACAGAGCAGGGTTTATTTTTAGTTTAGGATATTTATCGGCATTGTAAGTAAGGGTTATAAGTTTTTTTAGTTTTTATCAATAATTTCTAATACTTTTAGCCAAAATTTTATACCACATGAGTTAAGAGTAAATAAAATAATTCCATTGCTTATCCTATTTATATTACGCCCTTGAAAAAAAAATTGTATATGTTATTTGGAGTAGAAGCTCTTTTTGTGCTTCGTACAGTTGCCTGCCTCAGCTACGCTTCGACCGTCAATCTCTGTACTCACCACAAAAAGAGTCGCTTCTACTCCTTATGACATAATCTACTATTATAGTGTTACCACTTATGTTTAAGCGTTAAAAATAAATCTTTATAGTATCACAATAACAATGGTTGGTTTAAGAATTTAGGAATATAAATACTGCATTTAATGAAATTCCAAAGTGTAAGGTGCAATATAAGTGATATTTTTGTGCATTGGGTCTACATTTCTCCATAAAATAGTTTTAACTAAACAGCATTTATTAAAAAAAATCTAACTTCTCTATTATGAAATAAGAATATCTGTATCAAAGGTAGGTTAATGTATTAGAACAAAAAATATCATCTAATTTTGTATTTTAAGGTTAGAAAAATCTATTTTGACCAAAATAAATAAGTGGATTATTTGGAAGAGTGTGTTAATATGGTCATAAATAAATATAGGTATACTAAATAATTGTTGAATATGGTTCAAATTAAATTAAAGCTTTTATACTTCTAATGACAAAACTTGTGCATACCTCTCGGCATACCTACTTTAAGTTAGATTATAAGAAAACAAACAATTTTTAGAGAAACTTGCAATGTGAAAATATGTAATAGTCCCATGACATGTAATTTATTAAAATTTTTAAAGTTATAATGATTTTTCGATGTAGATCAAGTTCAGTCAAAGCTTTTTAACTATCTGTATTAACAAAACTTTATGTAGGTACACTTTAAGCTGGATAAGAAAAACTGCCACAATTTTAAATACCATATTATACAGTCGTTTAAATAATCCAAAATACTTATTTATTAATATAATAATAATAATAATAATAATAATAATAGGTTCATTCCAACCAGCAGTAATATTACCGTAATATTATCGTCCGTAACAGCGTTAATGCGACTGCGCGAACGAAAACAGTAAAATTATTTTGAATATCGTATAAACTGGTTGGAACCTTTTTTGAACTAGTAGTACTCACAATCAGAAGAAAAAGAATATAACCTAAAACCCACAATTGTACTTATTGTGCTAAAAGCTAAGTAAAGCGCATATAAAAGTATATTTTAATAACATCACACATTGATAATAAATTCTTCCATTCCTGCTCACAAATGACAAAAATTAGATGTATTAACATTAAAAATTAATTAAATTACCTTGTATAGCAGTCATTTTTAAATAATATGTCCACTTTTACAGAAAACAAACTTACAATATTACAAACGTTAATAAATAAACAAAAAGTTGAGGTTATATGCCCCCTTCTACGCATGCGTCTAATTTTATTATCAACAGTTCTTGCTCTCGAGCAAGAATCGTTTGAACCGTAATTTTACTGTCCGTAACTCTGGTTGGAACGACGAACTGACAGTAATTGCCAGTTCTAAACTAGTAATTTTAGTTGGTTGGAACGACATTTTACAAACGCGCATGTGTATCAGTAATATTACTGGAAATTACTGCTGGTTGGAATGAACCTAATAATAATATATTTATTTACCCACTGCTATTTAAAACAAGTATACATTTACATTATTTTAACTTTCACAAAATATTTTAACAAGTTTTTAAAATGAATGAAGTTATCACAGTATTTAATTTCATGTGTTAAATTATTATACAATTGAAATCCTTTAAAAAATATACTTTTGCTATATTTACTGGACGTTGGTTTATCTATATAAATATTTTTGTCTTGCCTTGTTGGATAGTTATGAATATCACAGTTTAATTTTATTTTTTTAGTTAAATAAATGGGAGTCATATGGTTTAATATTTTAAAAACAAAGATTATGGTTCTAAAAGTTATTCTTTGACTAACAGACATAAAATTTAGTACATTTAACATTAAATTTACAGGTGTGCATTTATTACATTGCAGTATTACTCTCATAACCTTATTTTGTAGAATTTGTAGTCTTTCTTGTTCATTTTTGTTAAGTACAAAGAGAATTGTAGAGCAATATTCCAAGTGGTGGGCTATTAGTGCTTTGTATAATGTTATTTTAATATTTATACTTAATTCTCTTCCAATTCTTCTTAAAAAATATATTTTTTTATTTATTTTGTTTTGTACATACTTAAAATGGCTTAAAAAATTTAACTGTTTGTCAATTATAACTCCCAAGTATTTAATTTCTTCAACTATATCTAATTTTATTCCATTTATTATAATATTAAGGTCTACATTATTATTAAACTTACTAACTACCATATATTTAGATTTTTGAATATTAATACTTAAACTACACTTCGCGTCAAATTTAACGCACCACTAAAAGTTTGTCACATTTTCAAAGTTGATTTTCTCGCGAACCGTCAAACCGAATTTAGTGATTTTTATAATAAATTGTAGGTTTATTCTTCGGTAATAATGCGTTTATTAAAATATTTTTTTAAATTAACATTTTGAGTATATACAGGGTGCAAGAGTGATATAAAGTTTTTTCCCGGAAATTTAAAACGCCCTGTGGATTGTACCAGCTATAACAGCATATGTATCTTATAATCAAACTATAGCCACATCTTCTCTTAACATTTTGTTTTTTGATTCACCGCGATATCTTTATTAACCGAAATTTGAAACGCCCTGTTGGTTGTACCAGCTATAACAGCATATGTCTCTTACAATCAAACTATAGCCCCATGTTCTATTAACATTTTGTATTTTTATTCACCGGGTTATCTTTATTTTTAAATGAAATATACATTTAAAGATTAAGGTACCATGAATAGTGTACGATATATCGAGCACATTTTATTTGAGCATGTTGTCCCTTTCGCCCGGTAATAATTTTTTACTGATGCAGGATAATGCTATATAGTGCAAGAGTACTTACATGAGGTGGGTGTTAAAACTTTAGACTGGCCTGAAAATAGTCCGGATCTCAACACCATTGAGCATTTGTGGGATAATATGGGTAGACGACTAAGAAATCATGATTCCTTGCCTGCCTCCCTTGATAACGTAGCAAATATGCTACGAGAAATATGAAATGTCATTGATCAAGACGAGATTAGAAATCTGGTTTCGAGTGTAAGCCGTCGATGTGAAGCCGTAATTAGAAGTAGAGGCAGAAATATGCGATATTGATATTCTTTAATGTTGGTTTTATTGATTTTGTTAATATTTTTGTTGTTATTGTTACAATCGTTCTTTTTACATTTTTGTATTAAACTGGAGTTCTTTAATCTTTAACTGTATATTTCATTTAAAAATAAAGATATCGCGGTGAATCAAAAAACAAAATGTTAAGAGAAGATGTGGCTATAGTTTGATTATAAGATACATATGCTGTTATAGCTGGTACAATCCACAGGGCGTTTTAAATTTCCGGGAAAAAACTTTATATCACTCTTGCACCCTGTATATACTCAAAATGTTAATTTAAAAAAATATTTTAATAAACGCATTATTACCGAAGAATAAACCTACAATTTATTATAAAAATCACTAAATTCGGTTTGACGGTTCGCGAGAAAATCAACTTTGAAAATGTGACAAACTTTTAGTGGTGCGTTAAATTTGACGCGAAGTGTATTATCACAAAGCCAGGTATAAATTCTCTGAAGATCACAGTTCATTTCTTTTCTCATTTCCCATAACTATTTTACATTTTAATATTACTTTTGCAATATCATTAATGTATAAAATAAATAATATGGCAGCTTCCTTGAGGAACCCCATGTTCATTTTTAATTTCTTTAGGAAATTTATTTTTAAACTTAACTTTCTGCTTTCTATTTCTTAAAAAGGATTCGAACCAACTTAATGCCCTTTTAAAATCCAGAAAAACAGCCAATATATTCAAATTATTGTCTTTATGTTTTTGCCATTCATCACATATATTTATCACAGTAGTTTCACATTAGTGCTTCTTTCTAAAACCCGATTGGTTTTCACAAAATACATTGTTATTTTCACAGTATTCAACCAGTAGTTCTTTTACCACATCTTCCAATATTTTTTCAAAAAGTGAAACTACATTTACTGGTCTAAATTCTTCACATAACATAGTGTTAGGCACTTTTGGTACAGGAATTACAACAGAAACTGTTAGTTTTGATGGAAATGTTCCTTTTGATATTGACGTGTTAACAACTTCTAAAAATCTGTGTCCTATTACTTCGAAAGCATCTTAAATTATAGCGGTGGTGACTATATGTTCTATGTCCATTGAGTTTTTTAATGAATAAATAACTTTTCTTAATTTTGACATGGTGATTGGTTTAAATTTATAAATGTTTTTTATAAAATCAACATTGTTTAAAGTATATTCAATATTATTAACTTTTTTTATATTGTTTACAATTTCTTTAATGCTGTCAATGAAATTTTGGTCAAAATAAATTTTTCTAACCCTAAAATTACAAAATTAGATGATATTTTTGTTATAATATAGGGTCAGAATTTCTCAAACGGGCCACCTGAATTAGGTCAAAATTAGTTTTTGTTTGTAGATACATTTTTTTGATAGAATTTTACATCACTAACACAAATCCTAAAGGATTTTGTAAAAAAAAAATTTTCAATTGACATATTCATGATATTAAAAGTCAAAGTTTTTAATAATTAAAAAATAAAAAAATTCATTATGGCTGAACTAATTATCCGATTCCAACGATATAACTAGCGTTGGAATCTTGTTTTGACATAGATTCTTTGTTATTTTTTTCAATTGTCCTATTTTCATTTAGGTCGATTTTTTTTTGTTTTTTTTATACCAAATTCGGAAATAATTGCCTTCTGCGCCAGCTATCGACTCGAGAAAAAAAACACATATACTCCAATCATTTCTCGAAATTATGCTGCTGAGAAAAAAAATGGCCCGCAGGTTGACAAAAAGTTATTCGTCCTTTTGTGGCCGCGCGCGGTGTCAGCTCACGCTCCGAACCGTGTACGCTGTTCGCGCTTGTGACGCGACGTCTTACGGTGGTCTGGAACCTGCGGGCCATTTTTTTTCTCAGCAGCATAATTTCGAAAAATGATTGGAGTATATGTGTTTTTTTTTTCGAGTCGATAGCTGGCGCAGAAGCCAATTATTTCCGAATTTGTTATAAAAAAAACAAAAAAAAATCGACCTAAATGAAAATTGTACAATTGAAAAAAATAACAAAGAATCTATGTCAAAACAAGATTCCAACGCTAGTTAAATCGTTTGAATCGGATAATTAGTTTAGCCATAATGATTTTTTTTTATTTTTTAAATACTAAAAACTTTTACTTTTAATATCATGAATATGTCAATTGAAAATTTTTTTTTTACAAAATCCTTTAGGATTTGTGTTAGTGATGTAAAATACTATCGAAAAAATGTATCTACAATCAAAAACTAATTTTGACCTAATTCAGGTGGCCCGTTTGAGAAATTCTGACCCTATATTAACCTACCTTTAAAACAGATATTCTTATTCCATAATAGAGAAGCTAGATTTTTTTAATAAATGCTGTTTAGTTAAAATTATTGTATGGAGAAAACCAGATATTTGGACCAAATGCACAAAAATATTACTTATTTGGCACCATACACTTTAGAATTTCATTAAATGCAGTATTTATATTCTTAAATTCTTAAACCATCCATTGTTATTGTAATGTTATAAAGATTTATACATTTTTAACGCCTAAACATAATATTATTTCTTTCATTGACTATACTTTGACAGATACATAACCTGAAAAGCCTTAAATGCCAAATTTTCAAAAGACTGCATCCGTACGTGGTCACGTGGTGGGACTTTGAGGTGTGGAGCATAGTACCTCGTGGCGGCGATGGGAAAAAATTAAATGCGGCGTACTAACTTGAGATTTTAATTTTTTTAGTAAAATTCAGCAGATCATCAGTTCGTTCTGCTCGAGTTTGCACATAGAGTTGCAGCAAAGGGGCGTCGAGTATTCGCAACTTTTCGGCAAATATTCTCATTTGAGGCCGGCGCTCCTGGAAAAAATGCCTCCGATGGAGGTTATCAGGCAGCCTGGCGATAACAACACCAACGGCGACTTGTTGGAAGAGCCTCTATCGACGGAGAGCAGTCCGCAACGTATTGTAAATAACGAATCGGTAAGTTTAATAATTGTCTCTTGGAACTACAATTTAAGAAAAATTATAGGGTCGTTTCGGGTCTTACATTTGTTCAACCAAAGTCTAAATTTTTATGTATTTTAAAATAACATTTTAGCAATTAAACTGCATTATTTTGTTTTATCTAAATTGTAAAATTGCTACAGTTTAGCATATAGCATAACGATTTTATAAGTCAAAAAGTGTGCGTCCATTGTTACATTTATTTGAAATTTAGCGAATTTTCTTAGGGAAACATTCCTAAAAATTACAGGCCTCCAAAAGTATAATATTTATCACATAATCAATGTCACAAATAACGTTTTATATATTTTTTTAATTTTACTTTGTTTCGGGTGTTACAAGTACAAAAATTAAACACTTTATATGGACAAAATCGGTGTTTTATTAGTCTTTAGATACTACAAAATAAGTTAGTAACAAATAAAGATAAATAGAATGAACTCTCCTTAAACATAACTTAAGCAGCTTCGGGTGCGATTGATAAAACAATTACCTGATTTTTCGTTTAAGGTGTTACAGTGTCAAAGTAACAAGAAAACACACTTATAACGTGATAATTATCAATTTTTTCGGGACTGTGACGCAATTACCAATACTACGATAAATAACCTTTAATCACAACGTGGAAAAACAGATTGACAGTTATTTCCAATAGTTAGAGGCACAATGGTCATTCAGCCAGTTCACTTGAGTACAGATTTTGAAGTATAATTAACTTAAAAATTACGTATTTTTTTGTCGCACATTATAATTTGGAATGTTTTCTTTCAAAATCCATCAGATTTAATGCGATAAGAACATTATTTTTTCACCCTCAGTATCGTTTTTCATGGAATGACTCATATGTGTTTCGCATACCTTTTGGCACGTTCCCCTTTTCTGTGGAGCAAGTTCTGGAACACCCTGTATATTGCATTATTTTCAGAAAATATGATAAAATTAGCTTGACACCGACACTGAAAATTAACCTTAAGTATTTTTATATTAAAGTCAGGTGTGGTGGGACTTTAATATAAAAATACTAGTGAAGGGAGAATCGAATGATTTTTGAATCGAATACACTTTGCATTTGAATACTCTAAAGAATCGAATGATCATTCGAATACAGAGAATCGAATAATTTGTTTCGAATCGGAACTTCCGATAATAGCCATTTATTGAATGAATGTTTTCGGAACAAATTATTCGTTTCTCTGTATTCGAATGACCATTCGAATTTTATTATTTGTCTACAATTCGTTATGGGCTGAGCGGGTTGGCTGCAATAAATTCTAAACCGGCTGATATACCTAGTAGGTGAACATTTCCTTAAGGATTTTAATTTTGAATCAAAAGGTATTAAATAAAACAATATTGTATAAATAATAAAGAGCATTCATTTTTACTTTATTAAAATAGGTCATGGCCTATTATGCATAAATTATCGCCTAATTACAAAATATGACAATTAATATACATAGTTTATGTTTTATGACAAAAATAAAGAAAGCATGTCATAAATCAATTAGTAGGTAATACCTACTTCTTTCATTCTTTCTTTCTTTCATCATTGAATGAATCAATTATTTTTCCAGAACGCATTGTTAGACCTGCTGGGCGACTCGGACGGCCTCGACCTTGACATAATCAAACCCGCGAACACTGTGACGTCGCCGCCCGCGACCATATCCAACAACCAAGACCTGCTGGATCTGCTGGGCCTCGACCCGCTGCCGACGACGGCGCTGGCAGAACCGACCGCCACGACGACGACGACGATCGAGAACAACAACGGCATAAGCAACAACATGCTGCCGATGACGATGAACCAGCAGATCAACTCGAACTTCTTGTCGGGCGATTTGTTCGCGACGGCGGTAGCGAACGAGGACCTGCCCGCGCTGACGGCGTTCGACAAGGACGGGCTCAAAGTGGTCTTCGCGCTCGAAAAGGCGCCCGACGCCGTCAACTCCATCACGGTGAACGTCACGGCCACCAACAACACCGTATCGAGCATGACTGAGTTTCTGTTCCAAGCAGCTGTTCCTAGGGTAAGTTACTTAAACCCCAAGCAGCATTTTTGGTTGCGAAAACCATTACCAAAGTGGTGATAACTTTAAATTACTTAAGTATACTAAACAGCTACTTTAATTTTTACTTAAAAGTAATTCTAACTTGGCAATATTTTGTAACAGAAACTTCATTATTTCCTTAAATGGTTACTATAAAGTAATAAACATTTAAGTAAAACTTGGTTACCCCAAGACGACTTTGCAACTTTAAAAAAGGTGTTATAAGTAAAAAAAACCTTCAAGTAAATTTAAGCAGTTACTTTCGGTTGCTACCTAAAGATTACATTATAATTATTTTTACTTTGTAGTCCCTTTGCAAGTTAAAATCTCAAAACTGGAACATGAGTTAAAAACTACAAAGTTAATAACTATTTTAGTATTTGGAACGTTTATGGTACTAACCAAAACTACCGTAAAGTAAATTTAGGTGGAAAAAAACTTTAAAGTAGGAAAATGCTTCTTATCGGCCATTTTTTACTGTACAATACCACGTGGTAATGTAAATAATAAATTATTTTAATTGTTTGTAAATGGTTGTTTACTTTTTAATAAATAGTAATTTTGTTGGTAATAGACGGTATTAATAATTAAATAAAAAATTAATAATAAATATTAAGATTTTTTTATTTATAAACATTATTTAATAAATAATTTGTTTAGACTTAAATATTGATGAAGCGCATTTATTTTACAAAAACTAAATTCATAAATTTAACGGTAAATTTTATAGGGTTTATAAATTTACCTGCCTAATTAAACATTTTATTGTTATTCTGGAAGTTAAAAACTACCAGTACTATGCTCCACACCTTAAAGTCCCACCACGTGACCACGTACGGAACGCAGTCTTTTGAAAATTTGGCATTTAAGGCTTTTCAGGTTATGTATCTGTCAAAGTATAGTCAATGAAAGAAATAATATTTATAGTGTTACCGCTTATGTTTAAGGGTTAAAAGTTAATAAATCTTTATAGTATCACCATTGAGTAATGGTATCACAATAACAATTTAGAAATATAAATACTGCATTTAATGAAATTCCAAAGTGTAAGGTGCAATATAAGTGATATTTTTGTGCATTGAATCTACATTTCTCCATAAAATAGTTTTAACTAAACACCATTTATTAAAAAAAATCTAACTTCTCTATTATGAAATAAGAATATCTGTATCAAAGGTAGGTTAATGTATTAGAACAAAAAATATCATCTAATTTTTTATTTTAAGGTTAGAAAAATCTATTTTGACCAAAATAAAAAAGTGGATTATTTGGAAGAGTATGTTAATATGGTCATAAATAAATATAGGTATACTAAATAATTGTTGAATATGGTTTAAATTAAATTGAAGCTTTTATACTTCTAATGGCAAAACTTGTGCATACCTCTCGGCATACCTACTTTAAGTTAGATTATTAGAAAACGAACAATTTTTAGAGAAACTTGCAATGTGAAAATATTTAATACTCCCATTACATGTGATTTATTAAATTTTTTAAAGTTATAATGATTTTTCGATGTAGATCAAGTTCAGTCGAAGCTTTTTAACTATTTGTATTGACAAAACATTATGTAGGTACACTTTAAGCTGGATAAGAAAAACTACCACATTATACAGTCTTTTAAATAATCCAAAATACTTATTTATTTTGGTCAAAATAAATTTTTCTAACCTTAAAATTACAAAATTAGATGATATTTTTGTTATAATATATTAACCTACCTTTAAAACAGATATTCTTATTCCATAATAGAGAAGCCAGATTTTTTTTAATAAATGCTGTTTAGTTAAAATTATTTTATGGAGAAAACCAGATATTTGGACCAAATGCACAAAAATATTACTTATTTGGCACCATACACTTTAGAATTTCATTATATGCAGTATTTATATTCTTAAACTCTTAAACCATCCATTGTTATTGTAATGTTATAAAGATTTATACATTTTTAACGCCTAAACATCATATTATTTCTTTTGTTGACTATACTTTGACAGATACATTACCTGAAAAGCCTTAAATGCCAAATTTTCAAAAGACTGCGTTCCGTACGTGGTCACGTGGTGGGACTTTGAGGTGTGGAGCATAGTACATCTTTAATAAACGACGGCATTGAAAAGCCAAGTCCGTAGTGGTTCCATTTAAAAAAGGAGGGATAGTATAATCTAATATTTGTCAAAGACAGTTAATATAGAAGAAAAAAACAAATAAATAAAAGTAATTACAACGCTCTAGCAACGATATTGAAACGTTCTAGTAACGTAGCAGCTACGTTCCAAATAGTAGCAGGGTTTACAGCTATTCACATATTTGTTACCTTTTTGGAACTCAATAATTGTTTCCCACTTTAGTCGTAACTTAGTAATGAAAGAGTAATATAAAGAGACTGTCGCAAAACGCTTTAAAGTTTCTTCAATAGTCCCATATACGTAAGAAATACTTAAATTGTTGCTTGGGACAGGTTTACATTGAGATCTTTAAAGAAAAATCGATATCGTTCTCTATATTTCTTTCAGACATTCCAATTACAAATGTTATCGCCAAGTGGAACGACGATGCCGCCTAACGGTCAAGTAACCCAAGTATTAAGAGTGACGAATCCCAGCAAAGTGAGTACCTTACTTAATGTTTTTTATTTATTTATGAATTGAATGAATTAAATAAATTGTACATTTTAAGTTTGATTTAAAGAATGAAATGAAGGACAAACATTTTTCGTGAATGATTTTTATGTGTAAATGTGGAGCGCTCACTTACTATATTTTTATCTTTACTAAGAATGGAAGAATGTAAATTGTAAATAAAATAAATATTTCAATGGATATAAATAAAACTTGAAAGATTTGGCACGCCTTTTTAACATTTATAAGATAATAGTTTGAAGATTAAAGTTTAGCACTTTAATGATGTTTTAACAGAAATTTACAAAGTTAAATTTTTTTAAATTCAAAACAATTGATATTCAAATACTGTAACTATTAGTTTAATTATTTCATTCTACAAAATTTTCTGTTTAAATTTGTTGAGTTATTTAAATGATAGTCGATAAATTTTTACTACAAAAATTCTCACATTAGTTTGAAATTTTAAAGTGGTATTTTTTGGATTAAAAATTTATCGACTATCATTTAAATGACTTTAAATATTCAAACCAAGCTTTTTATTTTTAACAATTTTAAATTGATACATTTTTAAAACAAAATGTATAATTTAGCATAACACCCTGTATACAATGCAAATGTAAAAGTTTAAGTTTTTAAAATTGTATTTTATTCTACAAAATTATTGGTTTAAATTGGTAAAGTCATTTCTTGCAAAAAATTAATAAAAACTAAATAAATACAAACGTTTTATGCCCTTAAAGCTCTAATACCCTTCTGTATTTATTTACTCATCCAGCTATTAGCTTAAGCAATGATTAGAAAATTTACTATCTATTTTAAAAACTCCATAACCAAAAAATTAATTTTTTCATCGTTTTTTTTCTTTCTGTTTACTCAGATGAAATTAGGACAAGTTCACAGGTTAAACTTTAAACATTCAATTTGTGTAAATTCCCTTAGTTAAGATATTTACAATTTAAGCACATAACCTAAAATTTTAAAGAAATGAACAATGAATAAAAATGCCAAATTAACAATTTGCATTGTTGATTTTGTCATTTTTGTAATTAAGCTAAATTTAAACAAAATCTGGCAACTTTTTTTGACAGAATGTAGAAACGCTGGTTGTTACCAACCATAACATAATAAATTAAATTAGGCAACCAGATTAGCCTAAAGTTCCTAGTCAATCATGGGCGAACTTTTTGGTAGGATAAAGGTTATTATAAATTATTTTTAGTCTTTATAATTTAGAAAAAAAGTTTTCAGGTGCTTCTACTACTACCCATTTTATTATATTACATTAATTACATAACACCTTCTATTTAAAATATTTTTTAAGTATCAATTGTGAGATTAAAATAACTTTTTAAACTATTTTGGTAAAAAATGTTTTATAGGTACCTATGTGTTTTTATTTTAAATGTCTCGACACTATTTTAAATACAAAAAATGTAACTTTACCAATTTAATCTAAATAATTGTATAAAAAAATTATTTAGGATTTACAAAATTCTGCCTTAATAAATTTTTATTTATATTATTATTTCTATAAATTATTTTTATTAAAAAATGATGAAAATGTTTGCAAAAATTGGTTGGAAATAATATTGTTTAATACAGAAGTGTGATGTTAGTTAGTAAATTTTGTCTTTCAATACATGATAGTTGAAAATATTTTAAATTTATAAATGTAAACCTAAAATTTTAAATTAAAGAATTTTTTAATAAATGTGCCATATAGTTGACAATAACCAAGATACAGGTGTCAAAGTTGAAAGTTCGTTTTTTTTTCAGGACGAAAAATTAAATAAAAAAAAATAATGTAGCTAGTAGAGGGCGCTGTCTACGACACTTTGCATATCTCTAAATGGCCACATATTTTTCGCGTAACCTTTTTTTTGAAAATTGGTCTTCCCTTCGCGTAACACATTTATATTGCAGTAACCTTAGACAAGAGAATACCCCTGTCTAACCGCATAATTAAATCGTTGGAATTGTGCGAAATGTGAACCAAGCTGTCAACGCTTATATGAATAGTTTAATTAAAAAAGAAATTAATCTGAATAAAAAACCGCATATTTGTTTATTTAGGAACTGGTTTAACTATAACTTGTACAACTTTTACAACCCAATGCAGAACAAACCACCATTGTATTTTAATACGTCTTTAACTTATTTACAAGCAAAACTACACAAAAAAAGTTGACAATGACATTTTTGTTAATTATGGCACACTTCATTTAAATTCACAAACGGGTCCATCTGATAATATGTCTATGGCAGAAACAGTTTATGAAAGTAGTATGTTTGTGAGGTTTTGAGAAATGTGAGGTTAGGTTGCCTAGTTACGTATGGCGGCGCTGGATGTATTTGTTATTGGGATTTTGAATGGTTTATGGCATGTGTTTGTTTGATGTTTGTGGTTTAATTTTTGTATGAATACCATAAAAAATAGTGTTTTATTGTTTGATTTGATGGTTGGATTGGTTGTTTTGTTTGATTATTTTTCTATGGTTGGTGTTGGTGTTATGCTTTGTATATTAATGACACAAATCCCTAATCTTAAGTAAGTTATGCTGTTTTTACTATCCAAATTAATATCGCCAACAGTGATTTAATAGCTTGAACTGCCATCACTGTTTTGACCTATGAGAAATCGACCCCTTTTAATTTGGCTGAAATTTGTATGTGGCAAACTCCCCCACTAAAAACGTTTTTTGAATTCAGAATGCTTTGAGGATGAGACTTCGACTATCCTACACAATAGATGGCAACCCTGTGCAGGAGCAAACAGAGGTTAATAATTTTCCATCGGAAATCTGGGATTGACGGGGATCCAGTTAAACGCCTATAATTTTTAAGTTACAATATATTTATAAATATAAAGACAAGTCTATTTTTACTGTAGACTTCTTTATAAGTGAAATGTAATATTTTCTATATTTAGATTTAGTTATTTTTTAGTGAGACTACACCTGTAAATAATTGATTTTTATTATTGTACTTAATTATTATTAATCTATTTTATAATAATTATTGTTATATTATCTTAACTATTCTCAAAATCAAATAACGAGTTGTTTATATTATTGATTTTTATTTATTACATCTTTAAATATGAGATTTTTTACACGAATTATTTTAGTCTTTGAGTTCCCCTTTTCGGTATCATGCATTAATTTTAATCTTAATGCTTGATTTGTTGAACCATGTTATTTGCGTCCATACTATTAATTAGCAAAATAAATTGTAATTATTATTTAGTTATTTTATTACTTGTTATCTTTTATTATTTCAGTAAGGTAAGTTAAATACTTTTTATTATACCCCCATGAAAATCCTTCATAGTTACCATGTCTACTAAGATCAAAAAAGGCAGCTCACAACAATAGCGACATCTGTTGAGGAAAGTCCCAAACGACAATTATAATTGAACTTTGTTGGAATCTTTATTGGTTTGCACTTACATAATAAATTAACATCTTAAACTTATAAACATTTCAATTTATTGTCTTTCTTTTGGTTCCGCCAGTTTCTTGATTCTTGCGGTAATTTTGTACTTCAAGGCGCTGGGTTTAACTGTAAAGCAGTCTTGATTATCAGTTTCTGTTTGTGTGACTATCGGTTTGCCTCCACAATGCCTCACAATTGGTTCAGTCATTTTCAAAAAGGACGGAGTGGCTGCAAAAATAAATTATTAACCAGAGATGGATAGAGATTGCAATTCTCGAGTTTGATAATATTGACGTTTGTCATCATAGGTTATGTGCACGAATTTAACTACAGTGACCTGTAATTTTACAGTTACCTACACTGATTTCGAGCTTAATTTAATAGATGGAACCACTACATGTATCTTTATTATTGTAATATGAATTCTTGTAAGTGTTATAATATTAAAATTGTTATAAAAAAAAACAATACATTTCTGAAATGATATCTTACCAACGTATTTTAAAGCCGATTTTTTTACTTTTCCCGGGATAAGGGGTGGAAGAATCTTGAAGTACCTAGGCGGTGGTCGAGAAATGACCAGCAATCTTTCTGTGGCATTATATTTTAGGGCTGCTTTGGAAACTGGTTTAATTGTTGGTGGGGTGTATATTCTTTCTTTAGGAACAGCCATCTCGCCGAGACGTTCCAAATTTGGTTCTCGTTTGGGTTTCTTTTCTTTTGGCTAAAACATATTTGATGATTTTGAGTTAAGTTAAAAAATTATTGTTGTTACAGGTGGCTTTGGAGGTTCTTTACGCTTAGCCAAGTTGGAATAAAATTCCTCTTTGGATTTAAGGTCTTTCCCTGACATTTTCTTCTTTTTTCCTTGACTAAGGCGTTTTAATTTGCTAAAACAGTTGGATACAGTGTAGAATACAGAATAAATAATGTAACCCCTGATAGCAAAATTTGATTTTAAGAATATTCTAAGAAGATATGACCCGGAATAATGGAATATTTTTAGAACCTTCCCTTATTGCTAAGAATGTTCAATAAAACATTCAATAGATAACCTTCCTAAAAATCATCCTAAGAACATTTTAAGAATACTTTTTTGGAATGTTCTTAGAAGGTTTCGTATGGAGCTTCTAGGAAGCTTTTGAGAATATTTCCAAATATGTCAGATACCCTCGTTCTAATATGTTGAATTCTACATTCGTAAAATTCTTCAGGAGACGACAAATCCGCCTCACAAATGTATTTGTCGTCCCCTTAAAAATTTTTGCGACATATTAATATATATTTATTTAAAAATATTAGTTGTAGGTATGACATTTCATAAAAAGTAAAATTGGAAAATTTTGTGGGATAAGTCAGATTAGATTGAAGTTGAAGATATTATACATAAAAATGTTAATTTAGAAATAAAAAATCGATGTACAATATTTATTTTTAACATAAAATAAAATAGGTACCTATAGTAAAAGTATTTTTGTTATCGAATATTGTTTTAATTTGACAAATAACTATAAAAAAATATTTTGGATTGTATTTTTTACTTAGTATTTAACACTAATTACTAATTAAGTACTTAAGTATAGGTATATATATATACCTTCATACGTAGTTTATCATAAACTGTTTATGGTATATTTTACTATATAATATTATATAGATAACTGAACTAAGTATGCTTAACAGGAATATTCCTAAATGAACTTTCTATAGCAATTACTTTCTTAACATTCTAGGCATATGTTTAGAGTAGACTAATTTTTACCACTAAAACTTTGCACCTTCTATAAACCTGCCAGTAAGAATATTCTCAGGATCATGCTATATTTCTTTTAAGCATGTTCTTTAGAAGAAATATAGCATGATCCTAAGAATATTCTCACTGGAAGGTTTAAAAAACATTCTTAGAATAAAGTGTGCTATCAGGGACAAAGCTTACTATTTGCGCATATCACGTTTCTTTTTTTCATAATAATTGTAGATTGTTCCCCAGGACTTATTAATGGTCTTCCTCATTTTTTTGGACCATTTTTTACCCATGTGGCTTTGATGGTTTAATTTATTCATCGTAAGGTATCTTAAATATAACGAATTTAGTAATTATTAAAATATCACCAAAGATATATGTTCTTGATGAAAAAAACATGGTAATCAAGTGGAGCAGACAGCTTTAGTCAATCCTGGAAATGTTTAATTTTACCTTACGGTTGGAGAAGACATTTGTTCAGTGAAAAACGCAACATGGTCAGCAAGTTTGGGTAATATTTTCCTATAAGTATCTTTCTCCTCAGGACGTACAAATTTCTTATTATGAAGTCTGGGTATTGCCAATTGACACAACCTCCAATGCTTACCAAACCATTCCATATACTCTAAGTACTTATCGGTTATGCCTTTTCCTTCCACCTTCGGCTTTGCAGGATTGGGAAATATTTCCACCCCAATATTGCGATTTTCGTACGTGATTTTTGGCTGCACGGGCTCATTTGATATAGCTGTGCATGCTTGTGGTGATGAAGCCCTTGCAGCGGTGCAAACCATGATGATTTTATGGTGATTCTATTTACTGAGAATTTGATGAGTGGATGACAATTTGAAAATTACGAATTGGTGACGTACATAATATACAGGGTTGTTCAGCATAAATCAACTATAGAATAAACCCCAAATAAACTGCGCACCACTCAATGTGTCCAAAAAGTTCGTTCTTTTTTAAAACAACATAACTTTTTTGTTTATTAAACGATTTTATTTTGGTCTGTGATGTTTGCTAGCCTCATCCTCTGGCAATTCATGCTATAGATATGAAGCTCACGGTTCGTCAAGTCAATTTCCTACAGGGTGATATGTTCAACGGTGAAAAATTTCAATAAATTCATCCAAGCCCCGTTTTTAAAAAATAATTTTTCGAATTGGAATCTTAGCAACGACGATATGATTTTTTTTCGGATTTTATTAAGACATTTAACAGCCGGGAATTGTTTTCGAATTTTAATTCTTGGTTATTTTGGTTTTATCTGAAACTTAAATTTGACAACTGAATCACAATCAGAAGGTCAAAGTTATAAAGAAAACATGTCACGATCGTAAATATCGGTTTAGGTTTAGTTTTCGCAAATTTTTACCAAAATGTCATTTTGAAAAAGTGGTCTTTACTTAGGCCCCTTTGAAAATAATGGAAGTTTGTTGCTTGTCGCTTGTTCGGAATTATTCAAGGAACAATCTTTCACCATCTTATTTTCTTGTTCTTAAAAAGATTAAGTGTATTGCCTACCAAAAAGCCTTAAATGTACTCTTTTGTAAAAAAAAATCAGATTTTCGTTGCCTAGATTCCAATTCGAAAAATTTGAAAACCTTTTCAAGGTAAGACATAATTCTTCATTATTTCAAAGTAAAAACGAGAAAAAATATTTCTTTTTTCAAACGGGGTGTTAAGCTGGGAGCGAGTGGACTGTATGGTGGTAAAGGTTTCAGGACTTACATTTCGTGTGACTTTCTTTCCTGCTGAGTGGGGCCCCACGATGACTTCTGGCACTGTTTTGATAGGTATAAGGGAGAGAACCAGGATTTGCTGTTACCAAAATTTACCGTTTACTAACGAAATCTCGTTCTAAATCTAATCGGCCCGTTTTGCTCCTAACTGCCCCGAACGATATTGGCTAACTGCTGGCGGTTTTAAAATCTCGGATTCCGCGCAATGCGGTCGATCTCAAAATTCGTTTTTGAAGCGCGCGAAATTTAAACTAAAAATTCCTAAACTAAACACTGCCCACCGAAAGCCCCATAGCTTAGCGGAGGGTCTTTCTATTAAATAAGAAACCCAATAAACTAAAACTATTTTTGCTACTAAAATAAAAAAAAATCCTAATACCTTTCCTAAAATTATACTGGAATTTAATCATCCGCCTCTGTCGAAGGAAACGGACACAATTTAACCAGAGGTCTTTTTAAATAACCTTGTCGGGTCTTGAGGGTTGCAGATCGTGCAACACCGTCCTTGCCCAAATGCAACTCTGTGACCCGGCCACATCGCCAAGACAACGGTGGGGCTGGGTCCCCATTAATTAACACTAAATCGCCGATTTGCAAGCCAGGACTATCTTTGTACCATTTATTTCTTTGCATTAGCGTGTGCAAATATTCAGTTCTAAAGCGCTTCCAGAACTGCATGTGCAAATTCTGCAAAAGCTGCCATCTAGTTAAACGATTCATTCTTACATCGGTTAAATCCTCCTCCGGCAAAGTAGTAAGAGGACTCAACGTCAAAAAATGACCTGGAGTAAGTACTGAAAGGTCATTTGGGTCGGAACTAAGAGGCGACAAAGGTCGAGAGTTCAAAACTGCTTCGACGCGAACCAAAACAGTGTAAAACTCTTCGTAGGTCAAAATCTGTTCGCCTATAATTCTTACCAAATGAGATTTCACCGAGCGGATTGCTCGCTCCCATAAGCCTCCCATATGACTCGCACTAGGCGGGTTAAAATTAAAAGAAATTGTTTCTTTTTCAGCAACTGATTTAAAAGTTAATGCTAATTCTTTTCTTGCTCCCACAAAATTGGTTCCATTGTCGCAATAGATGGACAGGCATGTGCCTCTTCTAGCAATAAGCCTGCGTAAAGCCGCCAAAAAACATTCTGATGTCATGTCTGATGCTAATTCTAAGTGTAGAGCCTTTGTGGCCATACATACAAATAAACACAAATATGCCTTTTGAGACCTAACACCCCTATATTTGCTCATTTTTATTAAAAATGGACCTGCCATATCTAAGCCAACATGAGAAAATGGTTTTAGCTCACTAATACGTACCGCAGGTAGATTCCCCATCATAGGAGGCCCCACTGCTTTCGGGTTTGCTCTAAAGCAGCGCACGCACTTAGACAATACTGCGCGTATGGCTCGTTTTGGAGACATAATCCAAAAGTTTTGAGTTAAAATAAACTGACACGTCTGTAGCCCAGGGTGTAAAAAATCTCTATGTACCGATTCTATAAGTAAATCTGTGAATTTGTGTTTTCGCGGCAATAAATATGGAAATTTTTTATCATAGTCTAATTGGGAATTTGTTAATCTACCCCCTACACGAAGAGAACCGCCACTATCCAAAAAGGGGGAAAGTTTACCAAATTGTTTTGGACAAACTTTTTTATTACTAACCTTTTCTATTAATTCTGAAAATGCCGACTGTTGCGTATGCTTTACTAAAACCAACAATGCTTGATTCAACTCCTTTATTAAAAGAGGTTCTCCATTCTTGACCTTTAATTTTAAGTTATTAAAAAATCTAATACAATAGGCTACTATTCTTTTGATTTTATGCAAATTTGATATATTATTTAATAAATTATCTAAAAGGTGAGGATGATTAAATGTTGTTAAAGCTATGTTTCTTTTTTCCCCGTCTACCACTTCTAAAGAGCTGGTATCCGCCAGGGTTGGAGTCGTATAATTTGCGTCAAAATCTAAAAATGACAAAAAGGAGGGTCCTGCCCACCATAATGCATGATCAACAAGTTGCGAAGGCATTATACCTCTACTAGCGCAGTCTGCAGGATTTTCCGCTGAACGAATATAAAACCAACTGTCAGGACTAACCCGGTCCTGGATATAACTAACTCGATTACAAATAAAAGTTTTCCATCTATGGGGTGGAGATTTTATCCAAGCTAAAGCTACTTGGGAATCTGACCATGCTACTGTTTTTCGAAGGTAAATTCGGTCACTGTAAGTATCTAAAACGTATTTTAAAAGGTCTGCCAATAAAACCGCAGCTTGCAGCTCAAGGCGGGGTAACGTAATCTTTTTTAAAGGAGCTATTTTTGTTTTTGCTATAATTAAATGGGTTTTTATAATTTTGTTTTTATCTAAAATTCTAAAATATGTACACGCCGAGAACCCACGCTCACTTGCGTCGCAAAACCCATGCAATTCAATAAAATCTACATTGTTATTAAATACATATCTATCTATTTTTATGGCTTCTAATTGTGGTAGCTCCTTTTGAAATTGTTGCCAAAGTTTTACTAGATTTTCTGGGAGCTTTTCGTCCCATGAAAGTCCCAAAATCCAAATTGTTTGCAAAATATGTTTAGCTATAAAAATTGCTGGAGAAATCCACCCTATAGGATCGAATATCCTTGCAATTTGCGATAAAACGTTTCTTTTAGTAGGTGCCTTTTCGCAAATAATTACTCTATAAATAAATTTGTCAATTTTGGGTTGCCAAAATAATCCTAAAATTTTTATATGCAAATCGCTATCAAATGAAAAAGTTTCGTTTTGATTTTCTTGCACTAACTCCGGCCTATTACTAGCAAATTTATGAAGCTTAAACCCTCCCCGTTCTAAAAGTGCTATAAGTTCATTTTTTAGCTCTAAAGCAGACTCTACACTGGGACACCCTGTAACTATATCATCCATGTACAAATCTTTGTCTAAAATTTCACATGCTCGTGGGAAATCTTCACTTTCGTCTTGAGCAAGTTGCTTTAAAACTCGTAGCGCTAAATAGGGGCTGCTGTTTACACCAAATGTAACGGTATTAAGGGAGTACACATGAATAGGGTCCGCAGGAGAGTATCTCCATAAAATGCATTGAAAATCACGCTGAGATTTTTCTACTAAGATTTGTCGATACATTTGTCGTATATCGGTCACTAAAGCTACCGGGTGCAATCTAAAATTTAACAAAATACTACATATGCCTTTTTGTAACTTAGGTCCTACAAATAATACATCATTTAGTGAAATATTTAGGGTTGATTTTAACGAAGCATCGAATACAATTCTAACGGTTGTTGATTTATTATCAGGACGAATTACACAAAAATGAGAAATAATATTTTTTGCAGTAGTATTATTATCTAATAAAGACATATGACCTTGCTTAATATAATCCGTTATAACCTCACTATAAGCGTTTTTTAAACTAGGATTGGCTGCTAATCTACGTTCTAATGATAAAAAGCGTCGTTTGGCAAATTCAAATGTATCGCCAATTACTGGGTCGGTTATTTTAAAGGCAAAGATACCGTATAACGCCCTGCTGCATCTCTAAAATATGTTTGCTTGAAAATATTTTCGCATTTTTTATCCTCATCGGATATCGCTATTACTTGTGGAGGTTCCTCCAAAGACCAAAATCTTTTTAAAGTTCTATCTAAAGACGATTCCAAGGTTGTTAAAAAACTATGAGAAACGTTATTTATTTTATCGACTGCAATTTTTCCTAACAACATCCACCCAAAGGCAGTATTTATCGCGGTAGGTTGATCCTTTTTTCCTACTATTTTACCGTTCAACAATATTTCTGCAAACAATTCGGCACCTAATATTAGGTCTATGGGTCCAGGCTTATAAAAAAGAGGATCTGCCAGCGTCAAGTTTTTAATATGATTCAAAGATTCAGTCGGGATTGTCGCTTGTGGCAATTCCGAGCAAATCTTTGGAATGACTAGAGCTTGAATGTTAAACTTTAAATTTTGCGTTTTAGATAAAATACAACAATTTACTATACCTTTTGCTTTTACAAAGGTGTCTCCTAGACCATAAGAACTACTACCTAATAACGAAATTTTTAAATTTAATTTTTTGGCGCAAGATTCAGTTATATAACACGCTTGTGAACCCGGATCACAAATCGCTCGAACTGTATACAAGTTACCAGAACTATCTATTAAATCAAGTTGCGTAGTTGCGAGTAAAACCATACTATTTTGATTTTCGCCATTTGCTAACAAGTTTACTGAATTGCAAGGGTTGCTACTAGGGTTGCTACTAGGGTTTCTATCCGCCGAACTAATATTTGGATTACTATTTTTTCTATTAATGCTGTTTCTAGTTTCAAGGCTATTTCTGCGATCTAAACTATTTCTACCATCCGTACTATCAAAATGTAGTAATGTGTGATGCGTTTTATTGCACTTCCTACATCTTGAGCGAAATCTACATTGTGCTATTAGGTGGTTAGAGCTTAAGCAATTTAAACAAATTCTATTACCTTTTACAAACGAGTACCTATCTTCGGAAGATTTTTCTAAAAAATTGGGGCAATTCATAATGAAATGCGCATTTTGACACAAAGAGCAACTTTCTGTTTTCTTTAGATTTTCATTTGTTGAGGTATTAGCTAAAAATGCAAAATTTTGCTTTTTATTTTGGCTATTAAAACCAAAGTTTTTATTTGGGCTATTTTGCGCGCTGCTTTGACTACTAAATGAACTATTCTTATTTTGACTATTAAATGAGCTAGTTGTTGACTTACATGCTTTTTTTAAGTCTACTACTTCTAATGATTGACAGTGTGCTGTGAGAAATGAAATTAATTTTTGATAAGATGGTATTTCATTGGATATGTGTTGGTCTTCAAATTTAGTGCATATATTTCTAGGTAATTTGTCAAAAACCATATCAAAAAGGACGTAATTCCAAGAATCCGTCGGAAGACCTAGATGATTTAATGCCGCTAAATTCTCAGACATAGTGGTAATTAACTGACGTAACGACTTGGAGCTATCTTGAACCGCAGGCAAATTTTTTATTTTACTATAGTAGCTGTCCGCCAAAATACGTTTATTTTCAAACCTATCTTCCAAGCTTTTCAGTGCCAAAATGTAACTTGACCCTACTAGGGGCAGGCTTTTAACAATGCTTAATGGTTCATCGCTCAAACTTCCCAACAAATATTGCAGCTTTTGAATGTCAGAAATTTCACTATTACTATCTATTACACTACGAAACATTTCTATAAATGACCCCCAGGCCTCAAATTCACCATTGAAGGTTAACAAATTGAGTTTTGGCAACCTTAGGCCAGGCTTGCTATTGCCTGGAACATTATTGGAGCTATTACTACTTTTCGACCCAAAAATAGTTTCATAATTTATTGAAATTATGACATAAGTCTCTTCTATTTCATTACGCTTGCAAAATTCTTGTGCTATGTCATCCTCTACTTTACCCGACAAGGCTACCTTTTGACCACTGATTAATTTTAATATTTCATCACTAATAGATTGGATATTTTTATAAGTTGCTTCAGCTAAAGCAAAACGAACTTTAAAATTATTTTGTAATGACTTGTCTGTCAAAGCGTTAATGCTTATCTGCTCCAAGTCTGTAAACTTTTTAATTTCAAATTTTCGACGCTCCACTAAATAATTATATTGTTCCATTTTAATTAATAAAATCAAAAAATATCCAAAATATTAGCTATGCCCTAGCAAGCCAAAACTATCCTTTAAAATTTACACAAATAGTTTAATTAAAAATATTTGCTTTGGCCAATTCAAAGAAATTAAACTTTGCTATAAAAAAGTGTTTATGTTCGGTTTTTTGCGCGCCTACAAAAACTATATTCAACGCGCGTTTATTCTGATAAAATTCGATTAAATTTTACGTATCATTAAAACTGTATTTAAATAAAATGCTATTTTGCTATTGATATTTGCTATTAATATATTAATCTATACTATAATTTGGGCAGCTAAATTCCTAAAAAGCGTAAATGACCCCATAAAATGCACGCTGCTAAAACTATAAAAAGGTGCTTTTTGACTATATAAAAAAAAGAAAATTACACGAATTTAACTTAAATCCGGTTCGTATTAAGACCAAATGTTAAGCTGGGAGCGAGTGGACTGTATGGTGGTAAAGGTTTCAGGACTTACATTTCGTGTGACTTTCTTTCCTGCTGAGTGGGGCCCCACGATGACTTCTGGCACTGTTTTGATAGGTATAAGGGAGAGAACCAGGATTTGCTGTTACCAAAATTTACCGTTTACTAACGAAATCTCGTTCTAAATCTAATCGGCCCGTTTTGCTCCTAACTGCCCCGAACGATATTGGCTAACTGCTGGCGGTTTTAAAATCTCGGATTCCGCGCAATGCGGTCGATCTCAAAATTCGTTTTTGAAGCGCGCGAAATTTAAACTAAAAATTCCTAAACTAAACACGGGGCTTGGATGAAGTTATTGAAATTTTTCACCCTGTAGGAAATTTACTTGAAGAACCGTGGGCTTAATATCTATAGCATGAATTGCCAGAGGATGAGGCTAACAAACATCACTGACCAAAATAAAATCGTTCAAGAAACAAAAAAGTTATGTCGTTTTGACAAATAACGAACTTTTTGGTCGCATTGAGGGGTGCGCAGTTTAGATAAAATGAAGCTACAATAAGTTACTTAATACTTAATTTTTATTTAATTTAAAACATATAAAGCGATAACATCTTAACAGGGCCTAAAACTACTATACTTGATTAGATTTTGGGGTCTTGGCTCTTCAGATGCACGTATTGCTCTGATAATTCCCACAGTTTCTTGGCTTTATTCATATCCATGGCTCCACTACTCAATCCACGTTCCTTGCAATCCATGAAATACTTCCCGGACACGCCCTCGACCTCTTCTGCGCATGCCAAGTACACGCTGGTGTGGCAGGCTTGAGCGGGCGTTTTGAAGAAACCTTTGATGATGAGTTGCAAGGGCCAGTTAAGTGGTACAGGGACGTTTCTCCAGATTCCTGAATCGATCATTCCTGGATGAAGGCAGTTCGCTGTCACGTTGGTTCCCTCCAAACGTTTTGCGAGTTCGTTGGTGAAATAGATGTTGGCGTATTTTGAGATGTAGTAGATCCAAAGAGGGAACCAGGATCTTTCAGGGTTCAGCTGGTTCACGTTGAGGGAACATAATCTGTACAGTTCTGAAGCCACCACGACGACTCTGCTTGGCCCTGACCTTTTTAGGAGATCTGGAAAATAAAAAATATATTATATTATATTTATACATTTCGATTTTTCTTCTGTATGCGATTTGGCAATAATTTTTATATAAAATACTTGTTAGTTGTTATTATTAATAATGAGTAAAATGTAAAAATGAATAAGTAGGTGGCGTATCTGCTGGAATTTCTTCTGCTGGAATTATATTATCACTGCACAGCAAACGGAAAATTATAGAAGTGTATAGGATGACGCCACGTTTGAATATGGTTTTCTAAATCTCCCTACGGTATAGATTTGTATTCGTCAGTCGAGCGTTTCAATACTCTCCACAGTATAGAGGTCGTAATTTTACTTTTGAACTAGTATTAATATAAACATTATTTTATGCTTAAAAAAAACTATATACGACATGATTGTGATTTTTTTCATTTTATTAATTAATTAAGCTTTGTTGAATATTTTTCCTAAAGGAATAATTGCCAATGGGCCATTAATTCATTTGTTCGTAAATGCTACAATAACCTGCACTGGTGTGTACTTTTTCATCAACCAGATTTAAATATTGCTGTACATATACATAACATATACCAGTGGAGATAGTGCGGGGTCTACCAACAGACCTCATTACTAAATTATTAAAGTTTAATAATTAGCATATCGATCATTTTTTCAACATAACCTCTGAAATTTTTAATACAAATATAGGTACTTTATATAATACATAAATATACTTAACATCATATCCTCTGTGCTTTACATACCTGAGTTGTTACGGTAAATAAAAATCAGACAAAGGAATTAAAGAAAGTAACTATTTTCAACAAAATCATATGCAGAAATGAGAAAATTCAAACTACTTGCATCCATCAAAATATTAAAACATCTTGCAATATTACACCCTCTTTTTATACTCTCAGAAATATTGACTAGAACAGTATTAGTGAGACTCCAGTTTCTATAACTTGGTAGAGTAAAGAGAAGTCGAAACCGTTGCGATATTGCATTGCGCTGTTTTTGTATAATTCTCGGGGACATTAACGAAAATCATTGCCAGTAAAATTCGAAAAGCTTGAGTTTCTATGTCTCTGAAGAGAATAGGAATCCGAAGTTGCTGCACCATTGGACTGAACCCTTTTTTTAATAATTTCTAGAGACATAAATGACTGCACCATTCGACAGGGTCGAGTTTCTACCTCTCTGTTGAATATAGAAAATCAAAACAATGTATCTTGTAAGACACCATTGAGTTTGACTTTAAATATAGCCGTGCATAGGTATAGAGCCGAAAAATATAAAAACAAAGCACGATTCAATACAGTTCAGATAAAACTTTAAGATTTAATATTCAAACGCGGAGTCATCCTATACAATTCTATATTTTTCCGTTTGCTGTGTGGTTGTAGGTAGTTTTTGATACACACCCTCAAACACAAACACACCTCAAAAGTAACACATTAATTTACAAAAAATAATTTGATAGCTTTTGTAAGCCGTATATGATATGTCCAAGTATGGGATAATTTAACAAAACTGTCATGGATGTAGCAACCTCAGTTCTTCGTACAGAAAAAATATTGGAAATTGCAATGTTTTTTTTTATCCATATTTTCCACAAAAATAAATATATCGAGTTGAACCAAAAACAAAACTGTTAAGAATAGATGTGACTTGATTATTCAAACTTAATTTAGAACAATATACGGTTTTGCCATTCTACAGAGTGTCTTAAACTTATGGTAAAAAACTTCTTTGTGTGTAAACCTGTATATTATAAAAAAATTGTCTATTTTCTAGTAAATTTTTAAAATGTGAGCGATTCTCCATTTATTTATCTACAATATTCTTTAATATTCCTTTAAATCCGACATCAAATAAAAAAGTTATTTGCCATTGAAATTCATCGAAAATTTGTGTGGATCGATTATTTTGCCTGTGAGTGTATAAAAAAATATTTTAGGCAAAATCTACCTATTTTTAGTATAATGATCCGAATCTGCAATAAAAAATAGGGTGTCCCATTGTAAATTTGAAAGTTACCCCATGGGGAATAATTTAATTTAATTTAATTTTTCGTAAAATGTCTATTTCCTGAGATATTTCAAAGTTTCAAAAGACTCACCCTGTATACTGGAACTTAAATGATGATTTATAGTTTATTTGTTGAATGAATTAACTTTAATGTTATTATGATTGTTAAAAAATAATATAATAACGTCAATGATAAAAAGGTAATTCAAATTGGTATAAATTAAATAATTAATAATTATAACTAATAACCACCTCGTGGTTCTTTATGTGGCTTATGGACAATTTATTTCATAACTCAATTGTTAATTTATTGCATAATTTAATACATAATACATAACTTTAAAATCTTGTTTATACAATTCATTAATTTAATATATATCTTTCTTACTACCTCGACTGAAAATACGTTGTTTCGTCCCCGATTCCACGGCAGAAAGTTTACGTTTGATGCATATGCAATATTATGCATATTATGCATCCAATATTGGTCAAGCTATACGCGCACACTCTATAATAGCGGGAGTAAAAATTTTTTAGTCGTGTGCTCAACATATGCAACTCTGATTACGACACTAATATAACCTCAAAATGTCGGGGCAATGTCAATATGTTTCGATATACACTTTGTTATCTATGGATATACACATTTAATTTTTTCCCGTATTTTCGGCCGGGTTGTATTTTCGGCCGAGGTAGTAAGAAAAATAGTATACACTACACGGGCAGAAAGTGTGAGAGCCCTGCACTGCGCGCCATGATGCCCGAGGCGAAGCCCTTGTAGTGTAATATACTATTATTTTCTCAAATGAGAATATTGATAATTAAAAGTGACAAATAAGTCAAAATTCCTCATTAAAAACTCATGTTTTGTAAGAACTTTGTAGTATTTTTTAAGGCACAGTAGTATTTTTTAAGGCACAAACACAAAACACAATAATTATATAATTATAATTATTATATGTAACCCTAAAAAATGTAGAGAGAAAAAATGTTGGCACATGCGCTGTTCAATCTTATTTATAATTCATAATTTATTTCATAAAAGTTAAATTTTCTGAACTTTCAAGGTTATTCAATAAACACTAAATTGTGAGTTACGTATTAAATCTTTGTATAAACTCTTTTATAGCGGATAGTGTGACTTTTATGCTTATATAGTGTAACTTTTATGCTTATACACTAAATTGTGAATTATGAAATAAATTAATGATATGAAGTTGTATAAACCCTCCATTAGTATAAAATAAATGGTTTTTAGTTTCATCTATAGACATAAAACTTGGTTCTTACCAATTAGGAGATGTGTAAGCAAGAACGGTCCGAAGTGGTTTGTGGCCATGGTTGTCTCCAAACCATCTTCAGTCATTTTGATCGATTTTTCGGCAGTCCCGGCATTGTGGATGAGAACGTCCAACCTTTGCTCTGTTCTGTTAATCTCCTGGGCAAATTCTCGAACTGATTTTAGAGATGACACGTCCAATTTTCGTACCACTATGTTTTCGTTTTTCGTTGATTCAATAAGTTCATCTATAAATAATAATAATAATAAACTTTATTACCCAAACTAAATAGAAACGTTACAATTGACTCAAAAATACATATATAAAGATAAGGGTGAAAGGTTGAATGCTCAGATTTCCAAAATTGGATTCTGTTCTTCCGAATTCCCCTTGGGATAGGTACTTAAAATTAATATTTGTTATAAATAATACAATTTAAAACCTACTTTTTTTAAGTAAAGACAACTATGACAATACAAAATAAATAAATAAAACTACATTTAACTATAGCTAAAAATTAATAAAATATTAGGAACCCTTGTTAAGTATCAATAAAATATAAGGGTCATTGCTGCCTCGACAATACAATTTTTAAATTATTTTTAAAAATCTTAACAGATAAAGTAAAATCACACATTATAATCATTGACATATTTATAAATATTGTACGAGAAAGACCGTTTAAAAATTTCTTTTTTGTGCTTGGGTATATCTATGACGCATTTTTTTCGGATATTTAGATTGTGTACATCAGTCCTATATCTTATTTTATCATGAAGGTACTGGGGCGATTTAAATTTTAAAATTTTATAAAAGAAGCCATAGATAACCAACCAGTTTCATTGAGTTTATGACTAATATGCTCTCTCCTCTTGATACCGTAGATTAATCTAAGACATGAGTATTGCAAGGTTTGTTATCTTTTTATATCGATACTGTCAATATTAGGACCATAGACAACATCACAATAGTTACTACAGCTTAACACCAATGAATCAAACAAATTTGTTTTTGTTTTAACATTTAAAAATTGTCTATGAGGGTAAATCAGTTTAAGACTACCATAACTTCTTTTTAAATAAGATTTGTATTAGTTTTAAACCTGAGCTTGCTTTCCATAATTATACCCAAATTTTTTGCACTGTTTACAAAAGTTATTTCTGTATCTCCAAAAATAATATGAGCATTTCTCTCAATAAATGATTTATTTTTTTCATTAGCAAACACCATAACCATCGATTTGTTAGGATTAATTTTTAGCAGATGAGTTTCAGATTTTTGCATGAGCTTTTTTAAATCAGTGTTTATTAGGGTTTCTGAGGTTTTAAGCTCATCAATTGGGAATGAGCAATATAATTGTGTGTCGTCTGCGTAAACGTGATAGTTGCAAACTTGAAAATCATCGTAAAAATTAGAAGTATACATCGTGTACAGTAAGGGGCCTAAAATACTACCTTGTGGCATACCCGATGAAATTTGATTGATTCAGATGACAGATTATCAATAAGATAACCGATTGTTAGTTCTTAATGATGGTTATTTTATTGTGTGGACCTACCTTTAGTCCTGTTCCCGCTCTCGACGTTTCTGCAGGCCAAAATAACCCTGGCCCCCTTCTTGGCGATTTCCCTGGCGGTCTCCTTGCCCAGTCCGCCCGTGGGCCCGGTGATGATCACCGTTTTCCCGTTCATCCTCACCTTACCCCTGTAGTAACCGCAGGAAATGTAGGCGTAAAACTTGAGCAGCGAAACCACAGTGAGCCCTGCCACCAACGCCAACGCAATCAAAATTTGTATGACCGGGCAGCTGAGATCCACTCCAAGCACGATCATTCTGTGAAAAGAACGCACCTGTATACTTCGAGAAGCAACCGACTAATAATAAAAACTGGTCAGTGATCCTGACCTTCGTCTCTTGACCAAAGTGAAATTCTTCTTACGCACTGAAGAGAATCACATTCGTTTCCCCCTTATAGTACTGGCCAACTCATTAGAGTTTTCTAATGTAGTTTTTAGGATTCATCTAATTATATAATAATTACGTCTGGATGTATTAGTTCTTAGCTACTACCTGTTTTTTTAATTATCTGGGTTACAAATAATTTTAGTCATTTATCATTGATGTGTTTAAATACCTATTTACGCAAGGTTGTTAATTATGATTACAACTATACTACTATAGCATTACAAAATTATTGTTATTAAATTAATATTAATAAGGCAATAGAGTAATTGCATCAAAAATGAAAATCCCTAAAAACCTTTTTATTGTAATCTAGAGGTAAAAACACATTGCGAAAATATTTTTTTATATTCCAAAAGTTCAACCCCGGCCCAAAATATCAAATTGAAAAAAAGGTACTTTTCAAACGTTCCGAACTCCCGCCATATTGCATGACGTCATAAGCTCCAACTGTCAGAAATGAAGATGTCAACAAATAATAAACACCGATAAAGTTTATGCACAGAATAAAGAACTTTAAAGTTCTTTATTCTGTGGTTTATGTTTAACATGGAAAACGCGAAACCAAAAATTGGTTGTAAATATTGTTTTGTGCCTTGTACAAATACAACCTGGAAAACTCCTGGGAAAAGGTTTATCACCGTGCCAAAAGGGAAAATAAGGATAAAGTGGATTAAAATAGCTCGGCGCGATATCAAAACATCGTCACCGCAGTCAACATTTTATTGATCATTTTAAGGATCATTTTAATGTAAGTAAAATAAAATGTCGTTTACTAGGTATATGGTTTGAATAGGTATGTTAAATATTAATAAACCCAAGAAAATACGGCTGAGCCGTAACTACTCTCAGTGTAGGGTCATAAACTTTGCTTTTGATAATTGAAGGGACAACTTTCCCAGGAGTTTTCCAGGTTGTATTTGTACAACAAGGCACAAAACAATATTTACAACCAATTTTTGGTTTCGCGTTTTCCATGTTAAACATAAACTTTATCGGTGTTTATTATTTGTTGACATCTTGATTTCTGACAGTTGGAGCTTATGACGTCATGCACTATGGCGGGAGTTCGGAACGTTTGAAAAGTACCTTTTTTTTAATTTGATATTTTGGGGCCGGGTTGAACTTTTGGAATATAAAAAAATATTTTTGCAATGTGTTTTTACCTCTAGATTACATTAAAAAGGTTTTTAGGGATTTTCATTTTTGATGCAATTACTCTATACAATTTGTCCTACTATAGTACCATATATGGTAGGTATATACAGGTTATTTCACATTCGTGGACCATTAAAAGTTTCTGGGGAACGGAAAAATATATAGATTTGAAATTTTAATATCGTTTATCTATTTTCTCTTTCGGTGCTGTAATGAGATACTTTATCCCACCCAAAATTTTGATTTTATAGGTTGGCTATACTTTAAACAGCATAATATTTTGTATATTGGTTATAATATTTTTATGATTTTTCTAGTAATTACGAGACTTTTCTGGCAATAAATTTTGTTTAACACCAAAGAAAATCCTTTTTTCTTCTTTAACATTAACAGCCGCTTATTGTAAATAAGTAAATTAAGGACGGCATGGCGAATCGATTTTGACATTAACTGTCAAACCAATGACTGTGATATCAACTATCTAAAGTAAAATTCGACCAAATGAAATTTAAGGTATAAAATTAATTTTTTTTATAGAATTATAGAATTTTCGCTCGTTTTATAAATTGTCCGCGTGCGACAAAATGACGTCTCTTTAATATACTATTATAATCCATTTAAGTGTATTATTATAAAATAATTTGAACAAAATGCCACTTTCGGTTTAACCGGATGTAAGATCAACTTTGATATTTCAAATAAAAAAAATCTACATAAAATTCTGAGTAAAATAACCATACCATGTCCAATACCTAAATTTTTGAGTTACCTATTAATTTTTTTCGTTAAAATTTGACAAATTAAAATAGCCTATAACTTTTTTGTTAATAGGTTTGCGGATATGGGGGTGGAATTTTTTTAATCTTAAAAGTTATATTTGCGTGAAAAAAACTAGTATTTAAAAAACAAGTTTAGAATGGAAAATTAACCAAATTTGACAAAAAAAAATTAGAGGAAGAGGGTAAAAATTACTTTTAAATAAAAAAATAATTGGGAATTTTTGTTTAATAACTAGATTTTTTTAATTCAAAATTTGATGAAGACTTAATTTTTTTATAAATTATTTATACATATACAGGGTGTTTTACGTTCGTGATACATTAGAAGTTTCTGGGGAACGGGAGTAAAATTACTATACCCAAAGTTTTGAGTTATAATTTTTTTTCGTTAAAATTTGACAAATGCGCTACAATCAAAGATAGCCTATAACTTCTTTGTTATGAGGTTTGCGGATATGGGGGTTGAATTTTTGGAATCTTATACATTGTTTAAAAGGTTCCATGTCAATTATTTTCAACAAATTACATGCGAAATTTAAAAGTTAATAACTTTTTATTTTAATTGTAACATCCTATATGTTTTTACATAATCATATATTATATCACGAGAACTATGAATTTAATCGGTTAAACTAGGCTCAGTAGTTTTTTGTTTGGATTTTCTTGGAAAATGTTGATGGGTTTTATTTTTAATTATTTTGCATGAAACTATTTTCCAAAAAGAAAAATAAAATAAAAAACTTACTGAGCATAGTTTGACAGATTAAATTTATAGGTTGAGTGATATGCGTCTAGATTATTTCTCGAATTAAAGGAAACTATTTGACAATTCATAAAATCTGACGTATGTGTCAAAATTTATAAATATTTTTTTAAAGAATATTCCATTAATTTAAGGTATGTAATAAGTAATAATTGATATTTCGTAAACTAGATAACTTATTTTTTATTGTTTTTTAAAAAATGTTTGTTAAAACTTGTAAATAACACCATAAAATCGTAAACAAAAATCCAATATGGAGGCTAAAATTCAATCGCTGTTAAATAGTTCTAGTGATTTAATCGCTTATTTAAACGAAATTTATTCGAAAATTCAAGGCTTTTGATTGGTTCATATTATAATAAGGGAAATAATCAATAGAAAATTAAAAATCTAAATTTAATAATTTTAGCCTATTTAACAATTTCTAATATTAGACCCAGAATAGTCTTGAATATATATGGGTGACATTGGTAATAAACTAGTAACAAAAATTGTGAATTAAAATATTTTTGGTTCATTAAATTGTTACAGCTAGTGCTTTCCCTAATTGACATCCCACAGCTTTGATGATTTTTTTAAATTAGTAAATTCTGTTTGTATTACTTTTAAATATTAAAAATGTTTGGCTTGTCAATGTCACTGACAGCTATTTTTTATCAGTAATTTTGTTAACAAAACACTGAATTGGCCAACAAATTGTTTATAACTAACTGAAAAATTGACACCATTAAATTTTGAACAATGACAGATTACGTGGTAACCATAGATACCGTCAACTCACCCGTTTAAAATAATAGAAATAGTTAAATATCTTTGAAATTATTAGCTTAAGGAATAGGGAATAGTTACATCAATTAAAAGGTTTTTTAATTTACTATTTCATTAGGTAAAATTATTCCGGGTGTTACATTTAAAATAAAAAGTTATTTACGTTTCAATTTAGCCTAATTAGCCCTGGGTTTTCTCAGGTAATTTGTTAACAAACGTTAAAGAATTGACATGAAAAATTTTTGAACAATGTTTTAAGATTTCAAAAATATCTTCCCCGTATCCGCAAACCTAATAACAAAAAAGTTATAGGATATTTTTGATTGACTCGCATTTGTCAAATGTTAACGAAAAAATTATTAATTCAAAAACTATTCAATTTAGGTATGGAACATGGTTTAGTCATTTTATGAAGAATTTAAAATGGAAAAATATATGGGGTGTTTGAAATAACAAAGTTGATGTCACTTCCGGTTAAACCGGAAGTAGCATTTTGTTCAAAATATTCTAGAAAAATAGACAATTTGATTATAAACGTTTTAAAAATTTTAAATCGATATCTTTTGCCGTTCCCCAGAAACCTCTAATGGACCACGAATGTAAAACACCCTGTATATGTATTAAAAATTCATAATAATAATAATAATAATAATTTTCACATTATTTCACAGGAATAGCACTTTATTTTAACGATTGTACGACATTTGACCCCTGTCAAATAACTAAAAGCTAACTCTTTTTAAAGAACTTGGATCGAAAACTCAACAGAAATACAGGGTGTTGATGTTGCATATATTAAAAAAAATAATTTCTTTTCAACTAAAGAACACAGTTTATGTAAGTTTTTTTATTTTAACGTTTTTTATTGATTATCAAATTATTAAATGATCTTTTTGGATCATCCTGTATATACGTATATATCATATTTAGAATGTAAGCATTTTAAAAATTAACCTTATGCTTAAATTGCAAGTACAATTTTTTTTATTTAATATTGTATAATATGCATTGCAAAGTCCAGCTTACTCAAATAATTATATACCTAATTATTATTATTATTAGGAATAAAAATCAAGTTTATATGAAACAAATTATATAAATGTTCTAGAAAAATGTAGCGCACAAAAATATTAAAAATCACCAAAACAAACAGTAAAATAATAGTAGTACCTACTAAGTACCACTTGTAATAAAATATTGATATAATAACAGTAGGTATAATAGTAAGAATAAAATTTAATTAATTAATATTGATTTTCTTCGTAAGAAGATGATCCTAAATTAAATATGACCTAAACACTTACCTGGCGAGGTATTAAAAACGAGTTAAACCACAGAAAAAAGTAGGCAGATAGGGGACACCAGTGTCAATGTTAAGAGCACAGAACATAAGAGAATTAAAAGCGCTGTAGTGAAAAGTGGCAACAGGCATTGTTTGATTTTTAAATCTAGCAGGCTTGGAAATCCGAGGTGCCTGTAAGCCATTGGTGGAAATATCCACACGATTTCTGCGGCGCGAATTTTGAATTTTTATTTAAAATATGGAATTATAACCGAAAATTGTTAAAATTTTATATTTTTTTGGGTTTTTAAAGAACCATATAGTTAATATTGTTCTTTAAAAATCAAAAAATATAAAATTTCAACAATTTTCGGTTATTTTCCACTAATTAAGTGGAAAAACACACATTTTTGTTTTTTTTATAAATATATTAAACAAAATATACACTTAATTCAATTTTAAATTAAATTATAACCAACAAATAATATTTAAATGAGAAATTCAAAGTTAATTATTCTATAACTTTTAGTGAAATTTAAAAAAAGGTTTATCAAACATGTATAATAATTTATAATTATTTAGGTATAATTTATCAAAAAGTATGAAATTAAATTGATAATTACCCTCTTATATATGCCTACAAGACAATTATCGCTTGATTACAGCGATAATTTTCAGAAATTTTAATTTTGTGTCACATAATAACAATTTTTATAGGTTTTTTAAGATTTCTTAATAAAAATGCAAAGGTTTATAAACAAATTAACTCTAAAACATATTACAAACCATTAAAATATTTGATAAATTCTTGATAAACAATAGTTCAATACTTATTGGTCCTTATTAGAAAACAACCTTTTAAAACAGTTCGAGTATAGTATATAATTAAAATTAGTTTAAATTTCAATATGTAATTCATAAAAATAAATAATTTTGTAATACATATTGACTTATTGTATACCTATAGGTATTTTCAGATTTCTTAATGTAGTATTAAATTTCTTTATTGGAATAAACCAAAAGGCTAATGCCTAAAATGTTTAATGCAATAATTAGACTTATTACAAACCATACTCTAATAATTTTTAGGAATTATGATTATAATTTGTTTTTAAAATAAGCACAATACTGTAGTTTTGTAAAATATAGAATATTTGGCAAAAAGGAATTCCTACTTATCCAAAAATTAAATTATATTCTTTGGAATATTTAATTTTTAGTAAAATTGGTTTAATTTAAATTAATAATCAATATAACCACTTAAATCTCAATGTTAAAAATATTGTTATTATGTATTCAGCAAAATTAAAATCTTTATGTATGATTTAACTTTCTGGTCAATATTAAGTATTAATTGTCTTTTTTCTTGTTCATGATTCATGGATTGAACCTGCGTCTTTTTCTTGATTCAATGAAGAATATTCAACTGCAATTAATATTTTCTATGTTCTTTTGCAAAGAAGTTTGATAAATTCAAGTCCTGTCTGCTTCTTCCATTAACACAAACCCAAACCTGAAATCAATACCAATTTTAAAATCAATTTAAATTGTAATACAATTGATATTACCTAATAATTTTTAAAATTAAATAAAAATAATGTCTCAATATTTATGCTACTTATTTATGCATAAAAATAATTGAATGGTTTATTGTAAAAACAAGCTAAGTAACTAAATAAATATGATTTTGTTTATTTTTTAATTTAAAAATCTTATAAAAACTAATAATGGTGAACTTGTGCTGTTTTAACATGAAAATATCCTTTTTTAATATCATAATGTGTATCTTGCTAAATAAAATATTTCTGCCTCAAAATAATAATTTAAAGCAGAAGTGTATGTAATATAAAAATGTCAGATTGCTTGTTTTAACAATAAACAATTTAATTATATTTGGAGTAAATACTTAAAGTGTACTTTCTTTTACTTTTTTTATATTTGGATTGTAACTATGGATGTGTGAATATTGAATTCAAGAATTATTTGAATAGTTTGAATGTTTCAAATTTTTAAATGGTTCAATTAGAAAATTAAAATTTTCCAATAGTAATTGAAGAAATGAAACATTGGAATTGTAATTTAAAATTTATTTTTAAATAAAAAGAATGTTACTTGTCATTAACCCTTAATTAACTTATTTGAATAGATTATGATTGTAATTATTTAACTATTCAAATAATTCAAACTATTTATGTAGTTTAAATATTTAATTTTAAGTTTGAATTAAATATTACTACATAATTTATTTGGTAAAAATATTCACACACCACCAATTGTAACTAAAAATGTATTCTAAATAAAAAAAAATATATCTACCAATTATTAAAAAAATTTGGTCAAATATTTCTGTTTGGGATTGACAAGTAAAGCTTTCATTCTTTTTCTTCATGCAGGATAAATCTTGTCTAATTGTTCCATTATCGTAGAAGCTAAAATTAATTAAATTAAATTAAAATCAATTTATATTGTAGCAAAAAATAATTAAATTAAAAACTTTAAAAATAATTCTTTAAAAGGTTTGCTTATGAATTGTCTAGTTATTTATGTACATTAAAAATGTCAGACTTTCAGATAGAACGGAGGGGTCAATGCAAGAATTCTTGCACTTAAGTGCCTAAGTCACATTTTCAATTAAATTTACATTGTGGCTTCATCTAAGAGTGTTTCAGGTGGTATTTTCAAAGTGGCAGAAATATGTGCCCAAGTGCTTTAGTTTGCATTTACTTCAATGGGAGTTTGCCTGGTTTTCAACTTATGTGAAAACTCTTAGATGAAGCCAGAATAACAATTTAATTGAAAATGTGACTTACGACACTTCTTGCATTGACCCCTTCAAATAAAATAACTATAAAAATACTGTAAAAGATTATCACCCTGTAGTTTAAAATGCTATATTTATGTAAAAAAAACATGGAAAGCACAAAACATTTGTAATATAATCAAGTTTTTAACTGTATGCTTACAAGTGTTTAATATGACCTCTTCCAGCTGCAAACATCTTGTAGATACTCGGCAGTTCCAATTTGTGTATTCAGCTTTTACAAATCTTGGGGCTCATAAACGTTATCTTTTATAGAGCCCCAGAGAAAGAAGTCGCACACTGTGAGATCGGTTGAATGTGTTGACCATACATGAAGTGCCAAATTGTTGGGCCCTTTACGTCCGATCCACCGATGAGGGGGCTGTTCGTTCAATAACCTCCGCTCCACCAAATGCCAATGTAGTGGGGCCCTGGACCCAGGTCCAGTTTTCGCGTAGCTACATCAAATAATTTTAACAAAAACATACATTTTGACAAAGATTATAGGTATATTTAACATTTTGTATAACAGCAACTAGTGTCGAGAAAAAAAAACGTTAAAAACTGTTTTGATTGAAAGTTTTGAATCAAAACGCTTTAAAACTATTTAAATTCTATCAAAACTTGCATTAGTTAAACAACCCATAAGCAAAGAGTCTTTACTCTTTGCCATAGGTTCCATTACATAAAAAAAATTTAATTTGTTTTATCGTAACATGTTTTCGGTAAACATAGAGAAAAAAACCGATATGGTTTATCACACGTATTTTCTTATTTTAAACGCGGTAATGATGCTACAACTAACTCAAACTTGACTAAAAACACCTAATAAAATGTTAAAGCCGAAATTAACAAGTTTACTTACCTAAAACAAAGAAAATTTGGATTATAAAACTTCGTACACAACACTTCGACAACACTGTCGGCCATTTGTAATTTCTCAAACCGAACACACAGAACATCAACGAACAAGTTGGAAAAGACCAATCACAACAAAGTAAGAATCACGTGGTTAATAACTGGGGTCTGTCAAAAACAACTTGGGTTTCAACGCACGCTAGATTTATTTTACTGTTGCCTGTTGTCAAATTCCCCTTATACCCCCCTGGTTAAGAGTACAGCGTGTAGATACGTACCGTTGGATACTGAGATGGTCACTGACATGGGTACTTTCACCTCTACAAGCAAGACAACGTCAGCAGGCCGTACCACAAACACCGGTCTGAAGGAGTAGCGCACACTGGCGTATTAATAAAATTCTATTCTTAATCCACTTCTTTTTTATCGATTTTGATTTAGTCGTTTTCATTATTTATTCATTAATTTGGGATTAAGCAAACGCAGTATTGTTTGTTAAATTTTAATATTTATTGTTTATCAATAGTTTGCAATATTCATGGTAATGTTTATTGGTCTAAATAATGGAATTAGCCTACATCCAAATCTATTACGCTCGCTTTTGTAGATATTGAGTAAAAACGGGTCACCCAAAAACCTACAGGATTATAGGAATTATAATTGAGGTGTGATTTTTCAAAAGGCCTTATTTCCATTTTTACTTGAATGTAATTTTTTGACAAAATCCCAAAAGTATGGTTAAAAGGTATTATTAAATTTTCATCAGATTTTTTTTTTAAATAATCTATATTGCCCTAACCTATACAGGTTATAAATAGTAATTTTTTTTGAAAAATTGTTGCAAATGGAAATACGACCTTTTGAAAAATCACTCCTCAATTATAATTTTCATTTTAAAATTCGATGAAGTTCTCAATTGAGATTAGATGTTTAAGATTGAGTTTTTCCATGTTAAATTATTTTTTATACAGGGTGTTTCACGTTCGTGGTCCATTAGAAGTTTATGGGGAAAGTCTATTAATATTTTTAATATTTTAGAAAAATAACTGGTTATTCATTTTTTTCGTTAAAATTTGACAAATGCGCGTCAATCAAAAATAGCATATAACTTTTTTGTTATTAGGTTTTGCGGATAAGGGGTAGCATTTTTTAAATCTTAAAACATTGTTTAAAAGATTCCATATTAATTCTTTCATATTTCTTAACAAATTACTTGAGAAAAACCAGGGCATGATGCATCAATTCGAAGCGCTTAGGCGCCCTATCCGGGGTTTGGGCCCTATCCGGGGTTTGGACCCTATCGGCACATTACTGTTTTTAAACTTAAAACAGCTGTAGCGCCGAAACGGCATTTTTGGGCTCAGTTTCGTAATCCGCGCATGCCAATTGATCTAGTGAACGGGTTTTTAAACCATTTTATTTTTTACAAAAATATGGCAAAAAAACTTGACCAAATCGATCAAT